ACAGCTTTTTTTCCACCAATAAGGAAACTGACTCAGAGATTAACATACCCAAGTCAGAGGCAGAGGCAGGTACTTCTTACTCCACAGTCCATCCACTTGCCACCTGGCTAAAATTATTAGCAGATGACAAAAATGCTCAACTAGAAAAAAGAAAGACATCAATTTATAAGTTATGTGTAATGACATGAGTAGAATGAAGTGACAGAATAAACGTATATATTTTTAACTTCTGTTCTTGTCCACTAAGTAAAATTAGAAAGGAAAAAAGTAAAGAGGCAGGGGTCTTATGCGAAAAAAAGTCACGATTTACATCAAAAAGTATTAACTATGTAGAAATAAGCATAACCAGAAATGTCCAAGACATGTATGGAAAACACTACAGCTAGTCGAAGAAATAAAAACCTTGGGTTAATGGAAATCCATCGCATGTTCCTGAAAGTGTTGTATCTAGATCTACATCAGTTCTACCCAAATTAAAGCAACCACCTGATGGAACCGCAGCAGTTTAAAAAAGAAAACTCTCAAAGAGAATGTAATATGGGAATATGTAGTTGACAAGATGTTAGATTAAATACGAATAAAATTATACCAATACGTAGACACCTGAACCCAAAATACGAGTAAAATTATACCAATACCTAGACATCTGATCCCAACGCTAAACATGAAATACACTAAACCAGAGTTATTTTCTGGAGAGTATTTAAAATGATGGGGATGTTATTACTTGAGTCGCAATGATCCTGAAAGCAAATTTTCTACAGAATATACAGGAGCAGGGAAGCAAGGGGACCAGCAGACCCCTTTTTAAGCACGCATGTGATAAGCAATGAACACGAACTGCCCAGAGCTGTCTCCAACACCGACACGATTCGCTTCCCCACCACGACGCCCTAGTGCTACCGTGCAACGAAGACCTCCCAAGCGCTTGTTCCAATGCGGAGCGCATGAGCTCCCAGACTCTGGGAACCACAACACGACTCTGCGAAACGAACCCCCAGCGAGGACTCCCCACGAGCTCCCCGCAACACGGACCCCACGCGCTAGCGAACAACCAAAAAAAAACTCAACGCGTTCTCCCTGGCTCTGAAACATTCCCAGAAGCCCACGTAGACCAGATCGATGACCCTCTGTGTCCACTGCTGGAGGCGAGTCACGGACCGTAAATCCCTAAACACTCGCCTCTGCCCGCCGACCCGCAAACCCCGCAAGCTGCAGACGCGACACTCCCAAGTTTCAGGGATGGCGGCCGGCGAGGGCCACACAGCGTCTTTCCAGAGACGCGGAATCCGGCGAATGCCGTCGCTTCATGATGCAATATGTCTGCGCCCAAGGGATGCTTGCTGGGAGCAGCCATTTTCAACCCTACTGCCGTACAGCAGGCGGAGTTCCCCTTTTCGCGCCTTAAGACAGGTAGGCTCTGCCAATGAAAAGCGATTGAAAACGACCCACCCTTTTTCCATTCCACGTGAACTGCAGGACTTTGGCTTTGCAACATTCGCCAGGGGCGCTACATAAACTTCTTAGTTTCTCGAAAGCTCAAGCCTGCCCTGATCTGTCTGCAGGCTGGGTAGAGATAGTCACAGACATTTAGGCACTTTAATCCTAAGAAGAATGGAAAGAAACCATGTGGGCGCGGCAATCTGAGAGGAATTTCAAGAGGAAGGGACCTGAGCAACAATCGGAGGGGCTATTATCCTGAGGATGCTTCTGGCTGGAGGGACCTTATGGAGAAAGCTGCCTTTGAGAACTGCCTGAGAAGTATCTTTACATCTACATCAGATGTAGCCTCAGAGGAAGGAGTCAGTCAAAGAATGGGTAAAACGACGGCAAAGCTTAGGTTATAATTGGGGTGGAGAATGGAGAACAGGGTTGATCAGCGGGCCGACCAAAGTGGGGAACTGAAGGGGGCCAGCTCCTCAACAACCCGTGGGTGTTTCTCGTCAGGTGGGACCAGAGACTGAGAAAAGAAATAAGAGACAGAGACAAAGTATAGGGGAAGAAAAGTGGACCCACTGGTGCTCAGCATACGGATGAGGACCCACATCTGCACCAGTCTCTGAGTTCCCTCTGTATTTATTGATCATTATCTCTACCATCTCAGAGAGGGGGATGTGACAGGACAATAGAGTAATGGTGGGGAGAGGGTCAGCAGGAAAACATGTGAACAAATGTCTCTGTGTCATAAACAAGGTTAAGAAAAGGTGCTGTGGTTTGATGTGCACATACATAAACATCTCAGTGCATTAAAGAGCAATGGAATGTCTCGGTGTAAAACCCGATTGTATTTTTTATTTACTGAGATATACAAGAAAACCGCCTTAAGACTGGAGGTTGAAGGGGTGGCCTGCCCCTCCACACCTGTGGGCATTTCTCGTCAGGTGGGTCGAGAGACTGAGAAAAGAAATAAGACACAGAGACAAAGTATAGAGAAAGAAAAGTCGTCCCAGGGGACCTGCCCGGCACTGGTCTCTGAGTTCCCTCAGTATTTATTAATCACTATCTCTACCATCTCGGAAAGGAGGATGTGGCAGGACTGTAGGGTAATGGTGGGGAGAGGGTCAGCAGGAAAACATGTGAGCAAAGATCTCTGTGTCATCAATAAATTTAAGGAAAGGTGCTGTGCCTCGATGTGCACATAGGCCAGATTTATGTTTGACTTTACACAAACATCTCCGTGCATTAAAGAGCAGTATTGCCGCCAGCATGTCTCACCTCAAGCCATAAGGCGGTTTTCTCCTATCTCAGTAAATAGAACGTACGATCCAGTTTTACACCAAGACATTCCATTCCCAGGGACGAGGAGGAGACAGATGCCTTCCTCTTATCTCAACTGTAAAGAGGCCTTCCTCTTTCACTAATCCTCCTCAGCACAGACCCTTTACGGGTGTTGGGCTGGGGGATGGTCAGGTCTTTCCCTTCCCACGAGGCCATATCTCAGGCAATCACATGGAGAGAAACCTTGGACAATACCTGGCTTTCCTAGGCAGAGGTCCCTGCGGCCTTCCACAATGTATCGTGTCCCTAGGTACTTGAGATTAGAGAACAGCCACGACTTTTACCAAGCATACTGCCTTCAAGCACTTTTTTAGCAAAGCACATCCTGCACAGCCCTAAATCCATTAAACCTTGAGTTAACACAGCACATGTCTCTGCGAGCACACGGTTGGGGCTAGTGTTATAGACTGACAGCATCTCAAGGTAGAATTTCTCTTAGTACAGAACAAAATGGAGTTCTTTATGTCTACTTCTTTCTACATAGGCACAGTAACAGTCTGATCTCTCTTTCTTTTCCCCACAATACACTGATTTTTTTTTTAAACTTGCCCTAATTAAGACAGTTTACCTACTGACAGGCCTAAGTGATAAGACCTCAAGCCCTTCCTCAAATATCACTTTTGCAGTAATAGACTTGACCTCAGCCTTAAGCTAGCATCAGTTTTGTGCCAGCACCTATTGACATTACCACTGACCACAGTTCAATTATTATATCTATCAGCCTCTGAAAATATCATCCAGATTGGACAAAGGCCTGCAGTATTCCAGTTTACAACTAGATTCAGCTCTTCCACAACCTCTTTGTCTTCCCCTAATCCTGTTCAGCCTCTTCAGCTCTCTGTGGAACATGAGATACCAGAACACAGTTGATTCTCCTTTAAAGATCTCTTTTCATAAGGCACGAGGATACTTACCTGCGAGTACTTCTGCATTGCGAGGAAATGAGGGTAGATGCCAGGAAGAATGTTGGGTCTGTTCCATTCCACAAGGAAGGTTGCAGCTGGTCAGTTATCTAGGAGTTTACAAGTTCATATTCCCAGGATTCTGAAAACAACAATTTGGATCAGGCATGACATTGCCTGTCCTGTATTTATATAAACCCCAGACCACCCACAGAGAAAAATGTAGGTGTAGCTCTCAGGTGTACACAACACCCCTTCTCCATTTTCTTGTTCAGTGGCCCATTTGTGGTTTGCCATCCAAGTCTCAAACCTGTTACAGGAACTTAGTTTCTCCCACACAATGTTGTTCATGAAGCCCCTGCACAAATGGCTAACAACACTCCAGTCTTTCTTTTCATCATCACCAGTAGGACACTCTTCATGTAATCAAAAGTGTGGTGCATCAAAGTGCCAGCCCACCAAGGTTTTGTTAGTTGTGGCTGTGGCATTTTGTCATAGTTGATTACGTTAAAACAGGGCACCTCTGCTTCCTTTCCATGTTCGGTAAGCCAGTAAGCCACTCGAGTTCTGCTGGTATATGCTGTCATGTTAGGTATACTGGTGTAGTTTATCACTGGTAGGATGAGAGGGTCACTCTAGGTGGTGACAGGTGGGCCAGGATGGCAGATCCAGCAGGGCTTCATCAGGTTACCCTTGGTGGCCAGAGCTTGGGAGAGCATAAGGAAAGCTTTATGTTTCCAGGTCTCTGCTGCCTTGTCATTGTGAAAAAAGCATATTGACAGATCAGTGCCCTCCCCCTAACTCTCCTGGGGCCTCAGATGTTCCCTACCTATTGGATAGGGGTTGAGCTGAGTTGGGGTAGGAACCCAGTCTGTTTATACCAGTCCCTGTTGATTGACCCAAACCTTTCAGCTTCAGTTGCCTAGTCCAGGAAGGGAGGTCACATCCTATATAAACTTGACATCTGATATGTTGCACACTTAACTAGAAAGATCAGCTGTCTCTGGCCCCACTAGAGGGAACCTAGCACTGTAGTATTGCTTGGTCCTGTCCCTTACCCTTTCTTTTTGAAGGACTCATTTTCTGAAATAATATTGAATTAACTTTAGGGTCAGAAATTTAACAGCTAATCATCACATGATCTTGGTTGGGCACTGAAGATAGACAATTAAAAAAAGGAACCCACAAATGGGAGAAGTGAATATAATGTCGTTACAGTCTCACCGATGCATCACAATGTAGCAATCCCTGGTTGTGAGGTATCATCCAGACTTCTTTGTCTCACAACCAAGAAAATTAAGGAGTATGGACGCAAAGGGAGAGGTTGGAGTGAAAGTTTAATAAGTGAAAAAAGAAAGCTCTCCACAGCAGAAAGGGAGCCTGAATGGGTTGCCATTTTTACAACTGAATTCAAAAGCTTTTCTACGAAACTCATCTCTGTAGCTATTTGTATAACTTATCTGTGAAGCTGTCTGTGCAACTCCCCTTATCTGTGTAGCTGTCTTTAGGCAAGCACAAAGCATAGCTTCTCCTGTTTGTGTAACTGTGGGTCTGTTTTAAGTAAGACTCCTCACTCCCCCTGCAAGCTCCCATGGAGTTCACCATGTACATGCCTGAAAAGGGGAGGAAACTTCTTCCTGGGAGCCCACTAATCACACAAAGAACAAAAGGCTTCTATGCTGGGCCTTACTTTCTTATCAGAGTAGCTGCTGCCTGAGTTTTCCCCCACTCTGCTCTTTTCGTGCCTGTGCTTGATTTTTCAGGCTTTCTGTTTAAAAGAATTTTGCCAAAGGCCAGCTTTAGCTGTCTGCCCAATTAATTTTTCCTTTTTTCCTCCCTCAATGTGATAACCTTAACCAGTGATGTGGGGCAGACACTATCTCCTTTAACTTTTGGAATAATTAATGCAGTAAATAGTAATAGTTCAAGATATTCTGTCTAAAAATAGACATCAGTTATACTATCTGACATATGATGAAGTCAGGAATGGAACAGAAAGCTCTCAAACAATCCTCATTTCCGCAGGGCTTCTTTGTTTCAAGAGTACTTTAATATTTTGATAAAGGCACTTCACAGTAGTGGGTTCACAGTGTTTTATTTCTATATTTCACCTGCTAAAGGATGTGGCAGAATGTACCACTGAAAATGCTGTCACATTAACTACCTTCCAGGAGTTTTTCTCCAGTGTGTACTGACACCTCTTAAGGACAAAGGCTCTCCCACCATCACTGTATTTCTACCCACTATGAGCTCACTGTTGCCATGGTGATCACCAATGATAGGGTCCCTCTTCCAAAAGAGGCTTTCCTACTTTCTGCATTCACAGGATTTCAAGCTTTGTATTGAACCATAAGCTTGAAATCTTATGGAGGACTTAACCAGGTAATCAACTAGATACTTTTGGTCAAGGCTTTTCCGCATTTAATATACAGTTTTCAATTACGTGTTTATAACATAAAAGAAGATGTAATTGATGACTGAAGGCACGACCACGTTCACTGCATTTGTAAGGCTTCTGTCCTGTGCAAAGCTTCTATTATCTCCCGAGGGTGCACATCTGGCAAGTGGCTGTCCTACAAGGACTACGTTCCTATCTGCTAGGAGCCCGCTGGTGTTAAATGGCATCTGCGGGTTCACAGAAGGTATCTGCAGAGTCACCATATTAACAGGGCTTTTCCCCTGCGTGTGTTCACTAGGACTTAAGCTATGACTTGCTGTGGAAGGACTGTCCACCTTCACTGAATCCCCCCGTTTCTCCCTTGTGTGTATTCTCTTATGTTTAACAAGGCAAGACATATAGAAGTAGGCTTTCTCACACTCATCACAGCCATAGGGTCTCTCTCCCGTGTGAGTTCTGTGATGTACAATGAGCATTGTCTTTGTAATGAAGGCCTTCCCACAGTCACTGCATTTATAGGGTTTCTCTCCTGAGTGAATTCTCTGATGTCTAATGAGTCCTGACTTCTGTGAACAGGGTTGTCCACATTCAGGACATACAAAGGGAGTCTTTCCTGTATGATATCTCTGATGTGCTACAAGGCAAGACTTCTGGCTGAAGGCCTTACCACAGTCAATGCAACCATAAGGTTTCTCTCCAGTGTGAGTTCGTTGATGTATAATGAGATTGCCCTTCTGAATGAAGCCTTTTCCACATTCACCGCATGTATAAGGCTTCTCTCCTGTATGAGTTCGCTGATGTACAATGAGTAGTGATTTTCTGGAGAAAGCTTTCCCACATTCGCTGCATTGATGCGGCTTATTTCCCGTGTGAATCCTTTGATGTTCAGTAAGCTGAGATTTCCTGGGGAAGGCTTTCCCACATTCACTACACCCATGAGGTTTCTCTCCTTTGTGAGCTCTCTCGTGTTCAGTGAGCCTGTACTTCTTGTAGAAGGTTTTCCCACACAAGCTACACCCATGGGGTTTCTTTCCTGTATGAATTCTCTTATGCTCAGTGAGCTGAGACTTCTTGAGGAAAGCTTTCCCACAGTCAGTGCATTCATGGGCTTTCTCTATATTGCGTGTTTGCTGATGTTTAAGGAATCGTGACTTAGTGCTGATGAGTTTTCTATTTTCATGGAATTCAATTTCCATAGGCATTTGTTCATGATTATCAAGGAGAAAAGCTCCATCTCCATTAAACTCAGCAGGCTCCTTTCTGTTGTATCTTCTGCTCTGGTTGGTTAAACCTAAATATGATTTCAAAGTTCTTCCATGTTCATAGTGTTGTCCCATCCTCTTCAGTATTCTTTGGTTTTGCAAGTGCTGCTGCGGATGATCATCAGCTTTCTCAATTTCTAAGAGACAGAACAATAAATCCTTCCATGATCCTCACATGGAATAAAACTGCTTCAAAGATGCCTCGGGGTTGGCTGGCTTTTTACTGGAAACCCTATGATACCAACATGGAAAGAATTCCAAGTATAAACGTTCCCTATCTGTTAAAAACCTTTTAAGAATTGCAGTTAAATACACATAAGATAAAATTTGCCGGCCAGGCACGGTGGCTTATGCCTGTAATCCCAGCACTTTGGGAGGCCAAGGCAGGTGGATCATGAGGTCAAGAGATCGAGACCATCCTGGTCAAGATGGTGAAACCCCGTCTTTACTAAAAATAGAAAAAATTGGCTTGGCGTGATGGCACACGCCTGTAGTCCCAGCAACTCAGGAGGTTGAGGCAGAAGAATCGCTTGAACCTGGGAGGAGGTTGCAGTGAGCCGAGATTGTGCCTCTGCACTCCAGCCTGCCAACAGAGCGAGACTCCATCTAAAAAAAAAAACAAAAAATTTGCCAGCCAGGCACAGTGGCTCATGCCTCTAATCTCAACACTTTGGGAGGCTGAGGTGGGAGGATTGCTTGAGCCCAGGAGTTTGAGACCAGCCTGGGCTACATAGGGAGACCCTGTCTCTACAGAAACATTTTTTTTTAATTTGAAAAAGAATAATCCTGAGTAGGGAAACAGCAGACATAGGGATTAGAATAAATAGAAAGTCATGTTAGAATGTTAGATACACAGCATTTGACTTCATCCTAATTCTATTAGACTGTTGGGTGCTAAAATATGCCCTTCTCCATTCTGTAGACCATCATCACACTAACTTTCCTAGAGCGCCAATCTCACATGTGAAGGAAAATTGCAGTCAGTACTCTAACCTTTGTTAAAATAGAGATCACAGACTGATGGAACAGACTCTTTGTGGCAATAAGATACCAAATTATAAACGAGGCCTAAGGAAACACAGGCAACGGTTAAGTCGTACACCCCCTACATTTAAAGAATAAACTATGTTCTAACTGCTACGACTTTTTTTGTTCTGTTTTTTTCTTTTTCTGTAGCAGCTAAACAAACACTGACCTTGGGACAAGCAATATTGAAACAATTGCAGCTCCCCGACCACCAGACGCTGACTAACTGATGCCCCTCACCCCCAACAGCATTCCTAACTGTAGCTATGATTGGACAGGAGACTGATCTCAATATCTTTCTCCTGAGAAACATCAGTGAGGCTGTTTTGGTCAGTTGCTGGAGTCTGTGCAGACTTTTCTTATATCCTGTAAAAGACCTCCTAGCATAGAGTCAAATTCCACCTCATTTTAATGTTAAAACTCCACTCCAAAATGAACATGGATATGTTACATATATGTTTGCTTGCTATGCACACGTTTGCTGATTCTCATAAAGATATTCCTAAGACTCCCCCATCTCTCACTGAACAGGTATGCAAAGCAAATTCTGCAAGGCAAAAAGCCTCCTGCAAGGCAAAAAAAAAAAAAAAAAAAAGAGTTTCCCCTCTCTTCAGTGATGTGTGTTTCTTTCACTTCCCCAAGGTCACATTACTGAGATTTGCGAATCATCTTTTGTTAGAATATAAAGTTTCTCTTTGTCTCCTCGATTTTTCAATTAACACCTTGTATCTACCTGGCTATGACACATTCTCTTATGTTCCAACAGAAAGAGAAACACAGCGATCCCTATGGACTTTCAGAATATGCAAGCGGAACACGCAGTCCTCTCCGCACAGCTCTGCCACTGCACCACATGTGGAAACTGTCACCTTCTTTATCATGCCCTACTTGCATAGATGTCATATTAGAATTTTTTTTTTCCACTTTACTGTCCCTAATATACTAATCCCTCACCTTGCCACTAACAGCCTCTACTTCCTGAATTTTGTACTTATGTCTCTGTTGGCATCGGTGAAGGGAACCCTTAAGGAACACGTTCCTACTTCTGAATCAAGACTTGAGGCAGCTTTACTTTTAGTTTTTCTTAGAACATCAACTACACAGTATTATTGCTACAATACTGCCACCAGGTGAAAGGTAACCTCTACGTAGAGCTAGAAAAATACACAACTTTACCTCCACCACCATCCTAAATTACTGGCACAGAAAACTCACAGCAGGAGCTGAACAATAAAAGTTTTACCATTACCAGACGCATCCACTTTAAGTTCCCACTTGACCGTTTCCCAGCAAATATCTTCTAACACTGGCCTCCATGTGACCAGTTTCAGGCTAATCTCTTTTTTTTTTTTTGAGATGGAGTCTTGCTCTGTCACCCAGGCTGGAGTACAGTGGCACGATCTCAGCTCACTTCAACCTCTGCCTCCCGGGTTCAAGCAGTTCTGCCTCAGCCTCCTGAGCAGCTGGGATCACAGGCGTGTGCCACCACACCTGGCTAATTTTTTGTATTTTAAGTAGAGGCAGGGTTTCACCACGTTGGCCAGACTGGTCTCAAACTCCTGACCCTCGGGTGATCTGCCCACCTCGGCCTCCCAAAGTGCTGGGATTACAGGAATAAGCCACCGCACCTGGCCTTCAGGCTAATCTTCTGACAGTCCCCACATGGCCTTGCATTTCCAGCTCTACAACTTCTTGTCTTGTCATAGTTCTTCATCTTAATTCAATACCTAGCTATGTCTCTTGCATATCAGTCTGTCATTCTCCATCTTGTCTAGACCACTGTAGGTTACATTTCTTCTAAAGTCCTACAATTATTTCTGTATTTACTATTCACTTTATCTTTGTATAGCCCTGAATTGTAACAAAAACATTTCATATGTTCAAAAGTTTAATTTGTAAATATTACATAAAAATTTGCCCTATTTTTGCTAATAAAATCTTTGCTCAAGAAAGACATTTCTGTTTCTCAGTAAATTCAGTCTCTTCTACTGTGTATTATGGCTACAGTTCATCAACTCATGGAAACAGCCCCCGAGAGACAAGCCCAGGCCCCCAACCCAATTCTAACGAAACCAGACTCGCAGAGCAAGAGGCCTTGGGATGGATAGTGTCATGAAAACTCCTTTAATAAAGATCTTGCCTTTAAGAAATGCTTAATAGATAGAAAAGTATGATCTCTCTTCAGCCTGGCTAATCTGTCCTTCGATAAAGAAATGCATGAATGACCAAGATGTATTTCAGTCTTATACAAGGAAGAACGAAAACCAGGCCCTTGACTCCAGAGTAGCAAAGGAACCTCAAGCACCACCAAATCCCACTGATATGATATCTATGGGAGTGGCTTGTGTGTGATTGGGGTGCAAAGTAGAATGGGAATCTAGAGATGGAAGATATTATTATATTGTAGTGTATTATAAACCATGTCATGAAAAGAAAATTCAAGGTGAAAAATACATACTGTCAGAATGCAAAAAACAAACCATAGTCACATACCTATGCCTCAGGTTTTTTTGTTATTCTGTTTTTTGTTTTGAGATGGAGTCTTACTCTGTCACCCAGGCTGGAGTGCAATGGCGTGATCTCTGCTCACTGCAACCTCCACCTCCTGGGTTCAAGTGATTCTCCTGCCTCAGCCTCCCAAATAGCTGGGACTACAGGCATATGTCACCACGCCCGGATAATTTTTGTATTTTTAGTAGAAACAGGGTTTCACCATGTTGGCCAAGCTGGTCTCAAACTCTTGACCTCATGATATGCCTGCCTCGGCCTCCCAAACTGCTGGGATTACAGCCACCATGCCTGGCCTCCTGTGCCTCAGTTCTTATCTCATTTGATGAATCAGCAACTCTAGACAATGCTTATGGCATTCTCTCTCTCTTATATAAATGTATATATAGATATAAAGTATATGTATAAATGTATATACACATATATAGACACATACACATATATATATACACACACATGCATATACATATAAGTGCTGTTCTAGCAAATTAATCAAACTTGAGGAGAGGGTCTTGGGAACCTCTACTTTACAGCTGGTTGATCAGAAGCTGAGGTGACAACCTGGGACTTGCCACTGGCATTTGAAGTGGGAGACAGTCTTGGACTGATCCCTTAACCTGTGGGATCTGATGCCGCATCAGGTAGATAGTGTCAGAGCTGATTTGAAATAGAGGACACCCAGCTGATGTCTGCTGGAGAATTGTCTGAGGTGTGAGAAAACAACCCTATATATCCAGTGGCATAAATGCTGGGTTGAGTGACTATGTGAGACAAAAAAAAAACAGTTTGTTGTTTTTGCCTCAGAAACACAAAATGATCCTCTGACAAGTGATGAAGAAGAATGGGAAGATGTGAAAATCCAAGCAAGAAGAACTTACGGGAAACAACATCTAAGAAGAAATGAATAGGGATCAGTTCAGTTCCAAGAAGGGATAAAGGGGTATGTATGTTTCTCTAAATTCCTATAAGAAAAAGAGCTCTTGTATCATATGGGGAGAAGGATATGTGGCAGCTGTTTCTGTCTCCCTAAACACTTTCACAACTGTCATGCCTTCTCTAAACGACCAGAATGTGACTTTCACTGCCTTCCTCTCTTGCTGGTTCTCTCTCACTTACCTGGATGAGTTGGACTGTGGATTTCATCTTCTAATGCCCATAGCGGTTCTCCTTGTTCCAACTTGGTGAGGGCATCAGGTTTGCTAGCTTGAAACCCTGTTTGTGGGAAATGGGAGAAGACTTAGGCTCACTGAATTGCACTACATGGCTCTGATGATAGGAGAAAGGTACATGTTAGGGACTGCATAATTTGCATGTTAGCAAATTAAAGCGTTTTTTTCTAAGATGAAGGAAGATAGTGCCTCTTCCTCTGGGACCACAGAGGGGCCTGAGGATCTGCCATTTGGGAGCATAGCAGACACACCAAAGCTTCCAGAAGCTAAGGAAGCAAAGGCCACTGACTGGGCACCCTCTGAGTGACACAGGGCAGCTGTCCTCACCCACTGACACAAGGTTGCTGTAGTTCTCCAACATCACATCCCGGTACAGATGCTTCTGAGCAGGGCCCAGGAGCTGCCACTCCTCCCAGGTGAAGTCCACAGCCACATCCCTCAGGGTCAGTGATTCCTGTAATAACACAGTCCTGCTTAATATGAAGTGTTTCTCTTTTATTGGCATGGAAGAAATATGAAGTTGTTCTGCCCATTTTCACCATATAAGTTGCACCTGTACAGTTGTCCCTTGGTATACCCAATGGAATGGTTTCAGGATGCCCCACATATACTGAAACTGTGCATACTCATGACCCACAGTTGGCCTGGTGGAATCTGCTTATGGCACTCTGTATAAGTGAGTTGCACATCCTGAGAATATTATATTTTTGATTCAAGCTTGTATATAAGTGGACCCTTGCAGTACAAACTCAGCATGTTCACAAATAAACTGTATTCCTAGTTCTTTCAATATACTGTGACAGAAGCAAAGTCATAGTAAAATATTCTATCTTTTATAATAACCATGCAGCCATCCATTAATCCAACAAATCGTAAGTTTCTGTAATATGCAGCCATTAAATCCTCTTGCTAACATAAGAACATCTGCAGTGTTTTTCAGCACCTACTTGCAACCCTGAACTATATGCTATAGTCATATAGCATGAGCAGAATAATCTAGCATGATTCCCTTCATGTGAACTATACCATGATGTTTAGCAAAACAACAAACTATGCAGTGGCTGTAAAAAATAAGCCATCATACATGTAAACATTGACATGCATAGATACATGTATATGTATACAAATGCATGTGTACATACACACACACACACACACACACATGCAGACATAGATGTCCTCACAGGTAAATCCCTAGAACAGGAAGACAAGCATTTGTTAATGACATACTAGGGAATTAGGTAAAAAAGTATACAGAGGGGGAACTTTGTGTACTATTTAACTTGAGTCTTTCACATTGAAAAATCTATCCATGAGGTCAGGCATGGTATCTCATGCCTGTAAACCCAGCACTTTGAGAGGTGAAGGCGGGTGGATCACCTGAGGTCAGGAATCAGAGACCAGCCTAGCCAACAAGGCGAAACCTGGTCTCAACTAAAAATACTAAAATTAGTTGGGCATGGTGGCGCCTAGATGAAGCATGAGAATCGCTTGAACCCAGGAGGCAGAGGTTGCAGTGAGCGGAGATCACATCACTGCACTCCAGCCTGGGCACCAAAGTAAGACTGTATCTCAAACAAACAAACAAAAAAAACTATCCATGAATCTGTGGTTCTTTCTGATACCAAATACACAGTGTCTTTTCCAGCAACACTTCTCCAACCCTTTGATTCTCTGATGCCAACTGGGTATCCTAGAGTTCGATCCTCTGCTAACACTAACCACTGAGGGTTATCATCAGACTCTGCAAGTTTAAGGGCTCGGTCCCACAAGACTGCCCTCACATCATGTGCCGCTCTGGGGTCCCCACATTATCGCACTTCTGTCCAACTTGACCACAATTGGGGGCTGCCACAACCTTTCTGCTCAGGTTTGATAATTTGCTAGAATGACTCACAGAACTCAGGAAAATGTCACACAATTACAGTTTATTATCTAGGATACAAATGACAGCCAGGTGAAGAGGTACAGAAGTCAAGGTCCAAAGGGTGCCAACCCCATGGGGGTTTTTATGGAGATTCTACGATGTGGGCATGATTAAATCATCAACCATGGCTGGGCATGGTGGCTCACACCTGTGATCCCAACACTTGGGGAGGCCGAGGCAGGCGGATCATGAGGTCAAGAGATCGAGACCATCCTGGCCAACATAGTGAAACCCTGTCTCTACTGAAAAAAAAAAAAAAAAAAAAGGGTAGCTGGGTGTGGTGGTGCCCACCTATAGTCCCAGCTACTCAGGAGGCTGAGGCAGGAGAATTGCTTGAACCCAGGAGGTGGAGGATGCAGTGAGCCGAGATTGTGCCACTGCACTCCAGCCTGGCGACAGAGCGAGACTCTGTCTCAGAAAAAAGAAAAAGAAAAAAGAAATAATCAACCATTGGTGACAGAATCTGGAGGTCAGGGGTGGGACTGAAAGTTCCAACTCTGTAATCAAGGCTTGGTCTTTCTGGCAACCAGCCCCATCCTGAGGTCACCTCATTACTATAAAAGGAGCCCACCCTGAGTCACCTCATTACCATAAACTCAGGTATGGTTGAAAGGGGCTGGTTAGGAAGAACAAAATAACACTCCTATCACTCAGGAAATTCTAAAGGTTTTAGGAGCTCTGTGCCAGGAACCAGAGATAGAAACCAAATATATACACATTTAAAACTATAATGAGTCATTTGCATAATTTTTTCAAGTTAAGGCATTAAAAGAGGTGAGAGGTTAACAACTGGATTTGAAAACAGGGAAGGGATCTGTATTTTCTGAGACAACATGACATTCTAAAGCAAACCCTGTGGATCTCAACAACCCAAGCCATTGCCAAAGGGAACTTTCAACTCCCTATGGTCAAATCTGTACTTAAACGCCAGTTTAGTGACCTGTTCAAGGAGCGCCTTTGAAAGCAAACCTTGCATTGTTTAGGCAACTAGGTTTATTCACAGACTAAACAGACTGCAACAAGGTTGGGTATATAGGCCGCGGTGCTGAGGGCTCCTGAAATACTGTGTTCATTAAATTCTGCTTGGTATAGTCCCAGAGAGGACTGAGAATAATCGTGTAGAAACAGCCACACGAAACTTGCTTGTGTATCTTTTGGAAGAAAGCTGTTAAGGACAAAAAGTCTATCTTGTCACCTCTAGCAGAAAGCATCAAACGAATTTTCCAAGATTTAAGTGCCATGAAATACTGACATCCCCTGAGGAAGGGACTCACATTCTCCTCAGAATCAGTGCACATCATGTAACTTACCATGATTCTCTGGGTGTGATGGTGGCCAAAGATTTTGGACACAAGTTGACACTTAATGTAACCAACAGGGTCCGGCAGAGTCACACATTATATTCCAACACTGGTCACATGTGAGCTATGTGAACAATGTATTCATGATCCCGCTTTGTCCTGGTTGAAAGGTACAGTCTAAGTCTGTTTCTCCCCAGAGCTCATTTTTTCCAATTTATACTTTTAATGTAAAGGAACTGATTTCTTTAGACTTCCACAAATCCATCAGGGAATCGAGTTAAGAATAAAACAAACCAAAAGTCACCTGGGCCTCTGTCATTTTCTTCTGTTTCAGGAAATACCCAAGAACTGGGATGCTTCATCTTTGGTTTCTTCTGGATCCTCCCTAAATTTTGGCTAAGAAATCCATTTAAGAGTGTTCCCAGAAATGATGACATCCACATGCAGGAACCTCCTCCTTCCTTCACTTGAAGTCTCTTGCTTCTGGGGAGCCAGGATCTGTGGAGTAAAAATCAAGTTCATTTGGTGACACATTCCCTCTGGGCCCAGATGCTGTCTCTGCTGCTTAAACTCTCCTGAAGTCAAGGCCAAGCAATACATCTAAGCATCCCTTTGTCAGGTGTCTCCACGTCTTTACATCCCAGGGCAATAAAACAACACTCTGAATGTGGAGAGTCATATGGGAGTGGGCTTAACTAGCAGCCGGCATATCTGACCACATTCCAGTGCTTCAAAGGAGTGTCTTTCTCCTTAAGCACAGTGTTTATAGACAAAAGAGCAGGTCAACGTGATGGCAATAAGGCGGCTTTCCTCCTCAGAGGCCTCCTGAGGCTTTCCACAATTTATTGTCCCATACTTTTATGACCAGTTTATACCGGCACCCTACAAGCCTTTTTCCCAACAATCTTGAGACACACAGAGAAGAAACACACAGGGAAAAGACAAGGCCATGTGAAGATGGAGGCAGAGACTGGAGTGATGCTGCCACAAGTCAAGGACACCTGAGAGTCTGTTGGAAAACGGGAGACAGGTGAATGAATGCAGACAGCTGTGCCAGGGGTCCCTGAAGACCACTCCCAGATGCAGTGATTCACTAGGTGAACTCACAACACTCAGTTTGTAATCATATTCATGGCAACCACTGATTACTGTGAAAACATACAGAGCAAAACCAGCAAAGGGAAAAGGTACATGTGGCAAAGTCTGGAGGAAGCCTGACACAAGTTTCAAGTTCAGTCTCTTTGGAGTCACACAGGATACACTTGATTCCTCCAGCCACAAGTTGTGACAACACACGTGAAACACTACAGACCAAGGAAGTTTATTAGAGAGAGATTGTGTGCCCATGGTTTTTATTGGGGGCTGATCATGAAGGTGCTTACTGGCTAACATACACCAAAACTCCAGAATCCTAGAGGAAAGCAGGTGTTCAGGATAAACCACATTGTTTGAAAAAACAGGCCGGGCGCGGTGGCTCAAGCCTGTAATCCCAGCACTTTGGGAGGCCGAGACGGGCGGATCACGAGGTCAGGAGATCGAGACCATCCTGGCGAACACGGTGAAACCCCATCTCTACTAAAAAATACAAAAAAAAAAACTAGCCGGGCGAGGTGGCGGGCGCCTGTAGTCCCAGCTACTCGGGAGGCTGAGGCAGGAGAATGGCGTAAACCCGGGAGGCGGAGCTTGCAGTGAGCCGAGATCGCGCCACTGCACTCCAGCCTGGGTGACAGAGCCAGACTCCGTCTCAAAAAAAAAAAAAAAAAGAAAAAAGAAAAAACAACTTAGGCACAGTGAGCCACTCTTATTAGGAAATGGTGAGACAGCCTCCAAAAATCTAAGCTTCCAAACGCCAGATGCTATGGTTTGAATGTTTGTGCCCTCCAAAATTCATGTTGAAACTTACTCTCCAATGCAGTGGTATCAAGAGATGGGCTTTTAGGAAGTGATTAAGTCATGAGAGCTCCTCCCTTGTGAGTGGCATTAAGGCCCTTACACAAGAGGCTTTGGCCAGGCGCAGTGGCTCATGCACGTAATCCCAGCACTTTGGAAGGCTGAGGTGGGAGGATCGCTTGAGGCCAGGAGTTTGAGGCTGCAGTGAGTTGTGACTGCACCACTGCACTCCAGCCTGGGCAACACAGCAAGACCCTGTCTCTTCAAAAAAAAAAAAAAAAAAAAAAAGGCCAGGTGTGGTGGCTCACACCTGTAATTCCAGTACTCTGGGAGGCAAAAGTGGGCAGATCACTTGAGCTCAGAACTTGGCAACATAGTGAAACCCCATCTCTACAAAAAATACAAAAATTATCCAAGCGTGGTGGCATATGCCTGTATTCCCAGCTACTCAGGTGGCCAAGGCAGGATTGCTTGAGCCTGGGAGGTTGAGAGGTTGAGACTGCAGTGAGCTATGATGGTGCCACTGCACTCCAGGCTGGGTGACAAAGTGAGACTCTGTATCCAAAAAAAAAAAAAAAAAAAAACCTAAAGAAAGAATAATAGTAATAATAAAAATAAAAGAGGCTTCACACACACATCGGCCCTTTTTGCTCTTCCGCCTTCTGCCACGTGAGGGCACAGCATTATTCACCTCCAGAGAAATAGGGACAAAACACTATATTGAAAGCAGAAATTGGGCCCTCGCCAGACACCAAACCTGCTGGTGCTTTGATCTTACATTTCCCTGTCTCCAGAACTATAACAAATAAATTTCTGTTGTTTATAAATTATCCAGTCTCAGCTATGTTGTTATAGCAGCACCAACAAGACTAAGACAGCATCCTACAATTTAATTCAATTCTGAGACTGTGTATCTGGACATAGTGTCAGATACCACAGATTAAGTGCTCAGTTCAAGCCTGCCCCCAACTTCAGATGCAAGTTGCAAGCAGCAGGTTGTCACCTGTATCTCTGATAGACCAGCTATAAATCAGGATTCACACGGCCTCCTCCTCAGGTTTGATTAATTTGCTGGATTGCTCACAGAACTCAGGAAAACACTTAACATTTACTGGTTTATTTTAACTCTTTTCCTGTCTAGAAAAACGAAGTGCAGCTTGCTGCCAGCGCTTATTTAACTTGTCATAAATATGCTCTTTGAGGCTGCAGTAAATCTGATTTTCAATGTGGAAATAAAATATAAAAGCTGTTCTAGGAGTTATTTCTAATCAGAACTAACATCAGAATCATCTGAATCATCAGAATTGTCTATTTGGAAAAATCGGCTCCATCTAGCGAGTCTTCAGCCAAGAACTGCTTGAGAATGATGTTAACATCACGTGTAGGAATGCTATGTTTTTTAGGATTTGACATTTTCAGTGATCAAGAACTACCACATTTTGTAAATGGAAATACCACTACTAAAAACAGAATGCTATAAATAGAATGATGTCTTTTATTTCCAAAGTCCATCTACTAGAACAATATGAAAATAATAAAAGCGAGACCGTTCATGACAAAGTTATCTCGGGGTAAATGCTCCAGCTGCAAGCATCGACGGTGAATATTCTCAGGGCAAATGGGAAAAGGAATAAAGGATATTACAAAGGATACAGATGAAGAGCCAGATGGAAGGGATAGAACAGGGCAAAGTTTGTAGCAAGGGGCGTTGGACTTCCATGCCCTCCAAGGCAGCTTATTAGAGATTCAGTGCACCACCCCTCAGGCACCTCCACCTGCTCAAGAATCTGTAAGTTCCCCAGAAGTTCACCAATCCTTTTGAGTTTTTATGCCAGTTTCATTATATGGGCATACTTGATTAAAACACTAACCACTGGTGATCAACTCAACCTTCAACCTCCCTGTTGCCAGGCAGAGCTAAAATTTCCAACCCTCAAATCACACAGTTAGTTGCCCTGGCAAGCAGCCTCCCCCATCCTAAGGTCAGCCAGAAGCACCCAGTCACCTGCCATCTCAATGCCACACGAAGACACTTATCCCTGAAGAGGTTCCAAGGGTTTTAGGAGACATGTGCCAGGAAACAGGATAAAGATCAAGCACACATTTCTTATAAATCATAACAATCATAGCTGGGTGCAGTGGCTCACGCCTGTAATCCCAACACTTTGGGAGGCTGAGGCGGGCGGATCACCTGAGGTCAGGAGTTCAAGACCAGCCTGGCCAACATGGTGAAATCCTGTCTCTACTAAAAATACAAAAATTAGCCGGGCATGATGGTGCGGGCCTGTACTCCCAGCCGCTCGGGAGGCTGAGGCAGAAGAATCGCTCGAAGCCAGGAGGCGGGGGTTGCAGTGAGCTGAGATCTCATCACTGCACTCCAGCCTGGACAACAGAGCTAGATTCCGTCTGGGGGATGGGGGGAAACTTTGATCCTCAAATACTCAAGGAGACTGATGCTTAAGCAAACTAAATATTGCCTGAGAAGGGCTCCATACCTCTATATTTGAGTCCTTGTGGATAAACTGCAGACAAAATTGAAAACCGAACTTAATCGTATGCACCTGTAACAATAGCTGAGCGTTGCCAATCCCAGCGGCCATAGTGATAGAATGCTGAATGTTCCAATGGCGTTCAAATAAGGCAAACGACGAGTGGTAACCAATCTCACTGTTTCTGGACCTCGCTTCCGATTCCCGTATGTCACTTTTTTGTCTATAAATTTGTTCTGACCACGAGGCACCCCTGGAGTCTCTGTTAATCTATTGTGATTCTGGGGGCTGCCCAATTCGCGAATCGTTCATTGCTCATTTAAACTCCTTTAAAATTAATTCCGCTGAAAATTTTCTTTCATCACTGATTTGAGTAATAATGAAACTTCGGTCTCCCCGCACAGCCGGCTCTGCATGAATTGCTCTTTCTCCATTGCAATTTCCCTATCTTGACAAATCGGTTCTGTCTAGGCAGCCGGCAAGGGTGGGCGGTTATAGTTTCACAACTCAACCACCAGCCAGGGGCCTGGGCTTGTAAAATATCAGATTTTACAAGACTCTGAGCCCCATATACCTGGACCTTCCCTAAACACTTAACACACATCCCTGATTCACCCTAAAACCTACACCAGACACCCTCGTAGGCTGCCCAGCACCCCGGCTTCATCACCGACTTTAAACTGCGGCGTTTGAAGTGATAATAATGGGGTCGGTGATGAAGCCGGTGTGCTGGGCAGCGTCCCCCTACAGTTCTCGATCCAGTGATCGACAGCCCTACTAACAGAGTGACCCTCAGAGACCCCAAACTTTGACGCCGAATCTCAGTCGCTGAACTCGACAGACCGTTAACGCCCGACAACCAGAACTCTCCCATGCCGGACCGCAAAGGCACCCCAACCCAAAGGCTCCACCGCCCAGGCCGCCAGCTCTCCCCACAGGCTCCTCAGAAGCTCCCTGCCACTTTAACCTACTCCACGGAGAGACCCAAACGCTCACCTGATTTTCTCCTGGCTACACCTAAATTCCGTGATTGCTTCCTTTTCTGGCCCTTAAACCCCGGCATTGGCACCGGCCTACGGCGGCCGACGAGGGCGAGAGTCGATTCTGCTGCGCTAGGACGACCGGATTTAGGCTTCTCTTCAGGGACGTAACATGTCCGCACCCTGTGCCACGGCTCTCTGGGCGCGGCCATCTTGGTAGATCTGACGTACAGACGGGAAACAGTTGTTCTTGTATCATTAACCGGGATGGCTCTCCTGAAAACAAAAATCTGAAGCGCAGTAAACATTTTCTAGAGTTTACTGAACAAACAGCAGTTCATGAATTGGGAAGCATCACACCAAAAGAAGTCTCGTGGTCCTTTTATGCTTAAAGCATTAGACGCAAGTATTCATAGGGTGAATGAAGAAGTAAAACAAAGAAATTATTTGATCAGTTACAATTATAAAAATGGATTTTAAAATTTGCCTTGAAAAGTCCCTAATGACATAATAGTATGTGAATTGGCCGCTTTTGATCGGTTGAGATTGAGTTTTGTCTTTCCCTAACACAAGCATTTACCAGAAATGACTCAAGTGAATTGTTGCTTATGTTTACAGGTTAAGCAAGGTTAAGGCTGTTTTTAAGGTCTACCAGGTTTTGTTTTCTCAGGAGTTTTTCAAGTCTGGTCTGCATTTTAATTTTGCTTTGACACAGGAGACAGTGAAATGGCACTGATGTGTTCCCTCTCCTGACACCTCAACCCCTGCACTGTGAGATTAGAGCACCAACAACACTGCACAAGCCACACAGATATTCAGAGGCTCAAATGGAACCAAGGTCAGCACAGTACCAACTATGTCTACCTCAGTGAGCTGGGGAGAGGTGACTGCACCCTTTATTGACTGACTACTAGGAAACTGTCAAGAGGCAGCCCACTGAGCATGGCCATCTTAGGGGAATTTCAGGTGTCCCTACAGCAGAGAACATGCCTTGAGAAAGGGGGGAAAAATAGGCCACTTAGCTTGAGTAGTCAAGGCTCATGACAAGTCACTGCATCTCAGTTACTGACTTTAAAGTTGTGAGTGAGGATCGATATATATATTCATATTAAAGATTGCTTTTTGCTTCAGGCTGTTTGGAAAACACCAAGCATAGAAATTTGAAATTGTGTTCTATGAAAAAACTGGATACAAAAGCCACTATCAAGGCAGGGGGTGGGACTTGACTCAAGAGGCCAGGCTCCAACACTAGACCAAAAAGAGGACTAGCTAAAACAGCAACAGGGCAGAAGCAGCTTTTCATAAGACATACCTGCTAGTATGCCATGTCATGTTTACCATTTCCACGGTAACACCTGGGAGTTATTGCTGCTTTCCATGACAAGCTGATGACCTGAAAGTTACCACCTTTTCCTAGAAATTTCTGCATAATCCACCACTTACTTTGCATATAATTAAAAGTGGGTAGAAATATGACTGAAGGGCTGCCTCTGAGCTGCTACTCTGGGCATACTGCTCCACAAGGAGCAGTACCTCTGCTGCTGTTGTACATTGCCACTTCAATAAAAGTTGCTATCAAAGGCCGGGTGCAGTGGCTCACGCCTGTAATCCCAGCACTTTGGGAGGCCAAGGCAGGCGGATCACGAGGTCAGGAGTTTGAGAGCAGCCTGGCCAATATGGTGAAACACTGTCTCTACTAAAAATACAAAAATTAGGCTGAAGACCATCATTCTCAGCAAAGTATCACAAGGATAGAAAACCAAACACTACATGTTCTCACTCATAAGTGGGAGTTTAACAATGAGAACATATGGACGCAGGGAGGGGAATATCACACACTGGGGCCTGTCAGGGGGTGGCAGACTGGGCGAGGGATAGCATTGGGAGAAATACCTAATGTAAATGACGAGTTGATGGGTGCAGCAAACCAACATGGCACATGCATACCTATGTAACGAACCTGCACGTTGTGAACATGTACCCTAGAACTTAAAGTATATATTAAAAAAATACAAAAATTAGACAGGTGTGGTGGCACATGCCTGTAGTCCCAGTTACTCGGGAGGCTGAGGCAGGAGAATGGCGTAAACCCGGGAGGCGGAGCTTGCCGTGAGCCAAGATCCGGCCGCCGCACTCCAGCCTGGGTGACAGAGCGAAACTCCATCTCAAAAAAAAAAAAGAAAGAAAGAAAAAAAAAAAAGAAACGTAAGATGAAGTTTTTTTGTAAAATGGAGTTAGTTATGTCAATGTCAAGGGTGCTCTGTACATGTTGGGAATTCAAAACAGACAACTCCCCATTTTTCCCTCCCCCCTCCCCCGAGATGGGGAGTCTCTCTCACTCTTGTCACCTGGAGTGCAATGGCATGATCTTGGCTACTGCAATCTCGTGACCCACTACGCTTGGCCTTAATATTTTCTATTATCGTTTATGTTAACTCTTTTTAAAGAAATCCTTCCCCACATTAAGATCATAGAAACATTATCTTATATTTTCTTCTAACACTTTTAGAGTTTTGCTGTTCAATTCAGGTTTCCAGGGGTTAGCAAACTGCTGCTCATGAGCCATATCCAGTCCACAGCCTGCTTTGCCCTTGAGCTAAGATTGGATTTTAATATTTTTAAAGAGTAAAATAAATAGAATATACAACAGAGATCATATGTAGCCCGCAAAGCCTGAAATACTTACTATCTGGTCTTGCTCCAAAATAGTCTGCTGACTTTTATAGTCTAATACAGGAAATACTGATTTATGTAGGATATGAAGTGGCACTTGTAATCCCAGCCACTGGGGAGGCTGAGGCAAGAGAATTGCTTGAACCTGGGAGATAGAGGTTGCAGTGAGTGGAGATTGCACTAGTGCACTCCAGCCTGAGCAACAAAGTGAGATTCCAACTCAAAAAAGCAAAAAAAAAAAAAAAAAAAAAAAAAAATCCCAAAACTCCCCTTGAGGTGCATTTACCAGTTTGTTTACACTATCTTTTTTTTTTTTTTTTTTTTTTTTTGAGACAGTCTTGCTGTCACCTAGGCTGGAGTGTAGTGGTGCGATCTCAGCTCACTGCAACCTCTGCCTCCTGGGTTCAAGTGATTCTCCTGCCTCAGCCTCCCAAGTAGCTGGGATTACAGGTGTGCATCACCACACCCAGCTAATTTTTGTATTTTTATTAGAGACAGGGTTTCACCATGTTGGCCAGGCTGGTCTCAAACTCCTGACCTCAGGTGATCCACTCGCCTCAGCCTCCAACAGTGCTGGGATTACAGGTGTGAGCCACTGTACCTGGCCTGTGTTTTGAAAACAGATAGATGATCTCTGTTTAAAGTCTGATTTTGGCTGCAACTGTGTATATAAAAGACCTCTCAGCAATCTTGTGCCTTGGTTCCCCTGAAACAGATACCTCACCTATATTTGGTTGTTGGTTATCTGGAGACAAATAGTATCCTGTGTGACTGAAAAAGATCCCTGGAATCTGTGCCTGTATGTCTCAGAACACCGTCATATTTACCTGTATTTTATTTCATTGGATTTTATTTTTCATGCTATACTGTAACCTTTGCCTTTCTTGGAGTCTTATGTAAATATAACTTGTGGAGTCATGTGAGACTGTTCAACATCTTACCCTGAGTAACTGCTATAATTGCAGTCACCTATTTTAAGGAAAAACATCGTGCTTGAAAAGGAAACATATTTTTGTAAAATTAAAATCAAGTTCAATGTATTTTAGAATTTATTCTCAATTTAAGAAAACAGTTTAGGAGACTTTCCTGCTACATTCTAGAGAGGGATTAAAAAAAACATGTCTTACATTTGGCTTATGATGTTTCAAAGGGAAACACATCTTGCACACCTTGTGGCTATGAAGGAAAGAGCTTATTTTATTTGACTATAGGATCAAGCCACATTATCCATTCATGCAATAGAACCAGGACTGCAACAATTATTTAATTTCCATCTCTCTGATATCAGGGACTATTTCTCAAACTATTTAGAATTCAGAAGGGGCATGAAACCTGGAAGACTCATGTTCCTCAATCCCCAAATATTTCGTTGGTTTACAAGAAACAAAACCCTGTATAAAGATGATGGCTTCTACTATATTTCATCCAATCTGAGATACCTTTGGTTGTATGGCACACCACAATTTTATACACCAAGTTCTCCATTTAAATACATTAAGCCATCAATTGTATGCCACATTATTTTAGCAGTGGTAATATGTTGGAAAAATGTCTACCTTAGAATTCATGAGACAAAGTTTTACCCAAGAGCAGCACAACATCTTCCAGACCCATTTACAAATACTAGCAAACACTAGGGGCATAAAGATATATAGTATTGTAATGAGTTTTTTACTAAAACAATGAACCACTGCAGTTCTGTGGGGACCCGAAAGCCTGAGGGTCATGACTGGCTCAGCATTCCACTGGAGGCTTTATGATCAAACAGCAAACTGTTTACCATGAATGCAGAATGTGAGCAAACTCGCATCTGCACCTGCCGCCAGAAGGTATGCTGAGGGCAATCACTCCCTGGTGCTGTGCTCCTTGAGATTATCTGTTGGGACATCTGGAGCCTACTGTTCAAAGAATGCAGTCATGCAGGCCTGTACTAAATCAAGCAGCTGACTGACAACCACCCCCTCCTCATTTTCTTTACTCAGTAAATAGGAAGTGCTGTAGAAGCTCAGAGCCCTTGTTCACTAGAAGCAAGGAGCCCCTGACCCCTTCTTCCAAACATATTCTTTTGTGTTTATCTTTATTCCCACATTCATCCTCCTTTGTTCAGTCCAGTAGGGTCCATGGCACAGTTCAATTATAATTTACATAGCATTATACAAAGATTCAATGCAGATATTCTATGGGAAGGCTTTATGCACATTTAAGCATACATACTACAAATTCACAATTGTGATGCTAACACATGCAGTTCCCAAATATGAACAATCATTTTTTATAATAAAAATAGGTACAAAACACTTAAATATTTGGTATTATTCTGATATTTTTTGCTTTGTTTTCTGACAAGCATATTTATTTACATATTTAATACTTTCTATAATGCTGATTATATGAGAGCAGAAAAAAAATTATGAAAAAGCATGATTTCCCAGATTCATTAACATACAAATTTATTTTTTCTTTTATTTTCTTTCTTGGAGACAGGCTATCACCCAGGCTGGTGAAATCTTGGTTCACTGAAACCTCCACCTCTTGGCTCAAGTAATTCTCCTGCCTCAGCCTCCTGAGTAGCTGGGACTACACATGTGCACCACCATGTCCAGAAAATTTTTGTATTTTTTGTAGAGACAGGGTTTCACCATGTTGAAAACACTGGTCTTGAACTCCTGAGCTCAAACGATCCTTCCACTTTGGCCTTCCAAAGTGCCGAGATTACAAGTGTGAGTCACTGCACCTCACCTAAAGTACAGAAATTCTCCCTTAGTGTCAATTATCTGAAACTGATGTAACTGCCTTTTATCCCAACAACATCCCCACAATCAATAATACATAGATGTTCCTTCCTGTTTGTTCCCACTGGCTTATATTCAATTGACATTTATTGGAAAAGGTATTACTTCCTGACTGGCATCATGCCCAGCACTATTCTCTGATAAGAAATGATGTGTAAGCTTGAAATTAAAGTTTGTTCACGTTTTCTGCAGCCTCGAGGTTTCACTCCTATATTAACCTTGTGGTATAATGAGCTAGCTCTTCTCACTGCAAACTTTCAGATATTCACCTCATTTATTATTTCTCTCCTTTGTGTGTTTTCTGATGTAGAATGAGGCTGAATTTGCGGGAGAAGGTTTTCCAACACTCAGTGCATTCATAAGATTTCTCACCTATATGCGTTCTTTGATGTATAATAAGATGTGACTTCTGGGCAAAAGATTTCTGACATTTGCTGCATTCATGGGGTTTCTCTCCTGTATGTGCTTTCTGATGTAAAACCAGGCTAAACTTGATGGGGAAAGTTTTCCCACATTCACTACATCCACAGGGTTTCTCTCCTGTATGGATTCTTTGATGAGTAGTGAGACTAAACTTATGAGAGAAAGCCTTCCCACACTCAAGGCATTCACAAGGTTTCTCTCCCGAGTGAATTCTCTGATGGATCAGGAGATAGGACTTCCGGCTGAAGGCTTTGTGACATTCTCCACATTCGTAAGGTTTCTCTCCAGTGTGAGACCGCTGATGAATATTCAGGTGTGACTTTTGGCTGAAAGCCTTCTGACACTGACTGCACTCATAGGGTTTTTCCCCTGTATGAGTTCTTTGGTGTAGGATGAGACTAAACTTGATGGAGAACATTTTCCCACATTCATTGCATCCATAGGGTTTTTCTCCCGTATGAGTTCTCCAGTAAGTATTGAGGAATGACTTTACACTAAAGCCTTTTCCACATTCACTGCAGTGATACGGTTTCTCTCCTGTGTGAGTTCTCTGATGTCTACTGAGCTCAGATCTCTGGATGAAGGTTTTCCCACATTCATTACACCCATACAGTTTTTCCCCGGTATGGGTTTTTTTAATGTAAAATGAGGCTAAACTTAAGGGGGAATGTTTTTCCGCACTCATCACAACCATAGGGTTTATCTCCTGTGTGAGCTCTCTGATGGCTCATGAGCTGTGACTTATTGCTGAAGCTTTTCTGACATTTGCTGCATCCATAGGGTTTCTCTCCGGTATGAGTTATTTGATGTAAAGTGAGTTTTGACTTATCACTAAAACCTTTCTGACATATACGACACTCAAAGCATTTCTCTCCTGTGTGAGTTATTTGATGTTTATTAAGGCATGACTTATCAGTAAAAGCTTTCCGACATTTATTGCACTCATAAGGTTTCTCTCCTGTATGGGTTCTCTGGTGTAAAATGAGACAGGACTTCCTGCTGAAGGCTGTCTGACACCTACTGCATCCACAGGGCTTCTCTCCTGTGTTTTTTGATGCTTAATGAGGTCCGACTTCTGGGAAAAGCCTTTCCCACAGTCACTGCAGTCATACTGTTTCTTTTGTTTTTGAGGTTTCCAGTGTTTTATGAGCTGTGACTTATGACTGAAAGCCTTTACACATTCATTATATTCATTGTATTTCTCTTCAGCATGAATTTTCTCATGCTTAGGATAAAGAAAAACTTCGTCATACCCATTACATTCATCTTCATTTCTTGCATAGCTTCTATTTTGAATAAAGTACTCTAGATTAGGATTCAGGTGTTTCCCAAGTACAAAAGGGGTATGAAGGTTTGAGCTCAGACGAGATGCCAAATGTATGATATTTGTGGTGCCTCTCCATAGTTTCAAGGCTGCTTTGATTTTCTTGGTGCCATTCTGTGTGATCATTGAATTGCCAGACATCTTCTAGAAAGGAGACCAATTAATCCACTTGATCATGTAATAAAAGGGCTGGATGTTCACAGCAAGGGCCAAGGAGAGAAGAGGAAGTGAAACTGGGTAGAGAATGAAAATCTGAGACATTTGTAAATGGAAGAAGAAAAAAACAGAAGAAACTATGAGAGGTATGAAACACACATAAAATGAAGATAAGGGAGGAAAATTTAGGAATACTTGAAAACGGGGCTATGACTATGGATTAGGGGGATGGAGACAGGGAAAAGCAAGTAAACTAAACATGCCAGGGAGAAAGATTAACCAGGAAAGCAAGTTCTGAGATGAGCCAGAGAGGGATTTGATCAGAGTACCTAAAAGAAGAACATGGATTCTTTTAAAAGTCAAGCAAAAGAGTTCTAATATGGAGAGATTAAAAAGTGGAGGCAGTATTAAGGTATGTGAGGAGCTTACGTCAGCTGTTCTTAGTCACATTCACAGCTTTAAGAACTTCAAAAACATTTCTCCAAACAGCATTTCAGAGGTGCCCCCCTATTTCTGCTTAACTGGGGTATTACTTCACGTTCCCCTACAGGACTGGTTTTTCACTTACCTGGACAAACCTGACTCTGGATTTCTTCCTCTAGTATCCATGGTTTTCCTTGGTCCAACCAGAATAATGCATCTGCTTTGGCAACTTGATACCCTAGAAAAGCATCAAGGAAACTCATAAAGGACACATGAACGCAAATACTAGGGGTACGAGACTTCTGAAAAACTATGTACTTTTTTTTTTCAGCTGGAGTCTCACTCTGTCTCTAGGCTGGAGTGAAGTGGTGTGATCTTAACTCACTGCAACCTCTGCCTCCTGGGTTCAAGTGATTCTCCTGCCTCAGCCTCCCAAGTAGCTGGGACTACAGCTGTGTGCTATGACACCCAGCTAATATTTCTATTTTTAGTAGAGATGGGATTTCACCATGTTGGCCAGCATGGTCTCGATCTCTTGACCTCATGATCCGCCCCCCTTGGCCTCCCAAAGTGCTGGGATTATAGGCGTCAGTCACCACACCCAGCCAAAGATTACATTTAAGGAGTTAAATAATTTGTATCTGGGCCAAGTAAAGGCCTTCAACGTCCTTTGGAAATGAGAGAAAAACACTCTGTTAGAGGCCAGAAAAGTACTAAAAATCTATGATGTATTAAACTGAAGTCTAAAAAAAGTAAAGTATTTGTGAGGCCCGACCCTTTTTAATTACTCAGAAAGGAAGGGCAATTGATTGCCTACACTACCCAGAAAAACTATGCTTACCCAGTGATACCAGGTTGCTATAATTTTCCAACATCACATCTTGGTACAGATTCTTCTGAACAGATGTCTTCTGTGAAACCCACAGCTACATCCTTGAATGACAGTGAGCTCTGTAATAGAACATTCCTACTCAAATTCTAAAGAATTACCATTGTGTAATGCTATTAATATAAATGATAATTTCTTATAATACATTTTCCCAGAGTAAGTTATTTGGCTGCCTTCCATGTAACTAGTTTTGCATTATAATATATAGGAAAAAATGTTTTAGTTAAAATATCCTATTTTGGTACTTCCATTCATTCACTGATTCACATATTTAATCATTCATTCACAAAAGAGAAACAGAACCTCCTTACATCCTTTAATAAAGTATTTAATCTGCAGTCCCCAACTTTTTTGGCACCACGGATTGGTTTTGTGGAAGACAATTTTTCCACATATCAGAGCAAGGGGATGGTTTTGGAATGATTCAAGTGCATTACATTAACTGTGTACTTTATTTCTATTATTATTACATTGTAATATATAATGAAATAATTATACAACTCACCATAATGTAGAATCAGTGGGAGCCCTGAGCTTGTTTTCCTGCAACTAGATGGTTCCAGCTGGGAGTGATGGGAGACACTGACAGATCATCAGGCATTAGATTCTCATAAGGAGTGTGCAACCTAGATCCCTCACATGTGCAGTTCATAACAGGGTTTGAGCTCCTAGAAGTATCTAATGCTGTCTCTGATCTGACAGGAAGGGGAGCTCAGATGGTTATGCACATGATAGGGATTGGCTGTAAATACAGATAAAATTTGCTCACTGGCCTGGCCCACTTCCTCACAGGCCATGGACCAGTAGCAGGGGTTGGGAACCCCTGTTCTAGAGAATCATTCAGCCTGAGGGTGAGCAAGAGACACTTAGCAAAAATTCACTCAAATTCACATTTAGATATGCCAATGCTGATACAGGAAACCATAAGAATACACAAAAATGTTTTGAGATTATTTTAAAGATGGTGAAAAAGGATTAAGGGGAAACTTTCAGGTTTTGCACTATAAACTTCTACATTGTTTGAAAGTTTGATACTGTGAATATTTTCTTTTTTGAAATTCATTCAAGTTGGAGAAGTATTATAAAGATGATGATTTTGTTTAGAGACAGAGTATTGCTCTGTTACCCAGGCTGGAAGGCAGTGGCATGATCACAGCTCACTGCAGCCTTGACCTCCTAAGCTCAAGCGATCCTCCCACCTCAGCCTCCTGAGCAACTGGAACTACAGGTGTGTGCCACCATGCCCAGCTAACTTTCGTATTTTTTTGTAGAGATGGGGTCTCACTATGTTGTCCAGCTGGTTTCAAAGTCCTGGGCTCAACTGATCTTCCCAACTCAGCCTCCTAAAGTGCTGGGATTACAAGGGTGAGCCACCACTGCCCAGCTGACATTGTGAATATTTTGAGCTTAATATAATTGGAATTAAAAAAAAAAAAAAAAAAGAAGTAGATAAGTATTGACTTTGAACAGAGAGCTGACACTGCATTCTCGGGTATGAAGAGATTATGAAGGAAAAATCTAAGACTCTGTCAACATAACTTGGAACTGTTTACTAATCAATGTAAATAGGAGTTTCTCTACCTCAGCACTACAGGTTGAGCATCCCTGATTCAAAATTCTGAAACCTATAATGCTCCAAATTCTGAAATTCTTTTGAGGGCTGACATGATGCACAAAGGTCACACTCAAAGACCAGGACATTTCAAATTTTGGATTTTCAGATTAGGGATGCTCAACTAGTAAGTATAATGCAAGCATTCTGAAAAAAAAAAAAAATCTAAAATCTGAAACACTTCCAGTTTCAAGCATTTCTGATAAGGGATGCTCAATCTGCATTTGTTGGAGGCCAAGAAAATGGGGTCGTGACCAATTCAGTATACCACTGGAGGCTATATGAGCAAACAGAAAACTGTTCTCATGAAAGTAGGATGTTGGAAAACTGACAATTTGCATTGCCTCCAGAAGGAGTGCCACGGGCACTCATACCCCAGGCACAGTGTTCCTTGTGGTTTGTAGGCAGCCTAAAGCCCATGGGACATGATCAACTCAGAATTCCACTGGAAGCTATATGATCAAACAGCAAACTGTATTTCACGAATGCAGGATAAGAGCAAACTCATGACTGTGCCTGCCGACAGAAAGTTTGCTGGAGGCTATCACTCCCTGGCACTGAGGTTATCTACTGCAACATCTAGAGCCTGTTGTTCATGGAATGCAGTCTTGCAAGCCTACTCTGGACCAACCAGCTGACTCCCTTCTTCCACTCCCCTTCTCACTATCTCTTTTGCCTAATAAATATGGAGGGTTGTGTAAAGCTCAGGGCCCTTGTCCACTAGAGGCAAGGTGCTCCCTGACCCCTTCTTCCAAATATATTCTTTTGTCTCTTGTCTTGTGTTTCCACATTTGCCCCCCTTTGTTCAGTCCACCAGGCATTGTGGCAGGGTACATAGTGCCCTCCCAACCCTGGAACAGTGACAGAATCGGGTGCTCCACATTGGTCATCTATAGGAATATCTGAAGACTGTTGTATAAAGAAAGTAATTATGTGTACCTGTGATGAGTCAAAGCAGCTGACCAACCATTACCTCTCTCTCACTATTGATTCCACCTAATAAATATGAAGGGCTGTAGAAGCTCAGGGCTGCCTTTGCTCACTAGAAGCAAGGAGCCCTCTGACCCCTTATTTTAAGATGTATCTTTTTGTCTTTGTCTTCACTTCTACATTCGTCCCCCTTCATTCAATCATGTAGGAACAGACTGCGACATGCACTGACATTTTGGGTTGGAGAATTCTTTATTTGAAGGCCCGGTAGTGTCATCACAGGATGCTTAGCAGCATTCTTAGCCTCTATCCACTAGCTGTGATTAGCACACCCTCCTTTCCCAGGTGTGACAATCAAAAATGTCTCCAGACATTGCCAAATGTCACCTAGGGTCAAAACTGTCTGAAAATGGAAACCACCGAGAAAAAAAAAAAAAAAAACAGAATATTGAGGACTCTTTGTGGAAGACCATACAATGGTCATAGAATCCATCCATCTTAAAAATCTCTACATTTTATCCCTGAAAAAAAAAAAACAGACCATCAGGAGGCTGTGAACTTTGGCTACAATGTTTTGGAGCCCTGAAGCACTCTGATCACTGAGTTTGGTTTTGGTATTACACCACTGGCTTCTCTGTGGAGGGCACTAACTTCTATATGATCTATGTGATGACTCATCAAATAAATTTCTTCTTATTTAAGTGACATGAAATATTTACTTTTCTAGAGGAGCTTTATCCTCAGGAGAAGGAAACAATTTCTTACTGTGCCCATGTGGTAGACTGCATTTCCCAAAGATGACCACAATAATATCTCACATTCCAAAGAAAACCTTCTGCAAAACCTTGCCACTCCCACACAAAGAGATGGAGCCTATTCCCTTCCCCCTCGAATCTGGCTTGTCTTGGTGATTTGCTTGTACCCACAGAATGCAACAGAGGTGACACAACATAACTTCTAAGGCTAAGACAGAAAAGTGTGGGGGAAGAAAGAGAGATCAGACTGTTACTGTGTCTATGTAGAAAAAGGAAGACATAAGAAACTCCATCTTCTTCTGTACAAAGAAAAATTCTTCTGCCTTGAGATGCTGTTAATCTGTAACCCTAGTCCCAACCCTGTGCTCGCAGAGACATGAGCTGTATTGACTCAAGGTTTAATGGATTTAGGACTGTGCAGGCTGTGCCTTGGTGAAAATGTGTTTGCAGGTAGCATGCTTGGTAAAAGTCATTGCCATTCTCCAGTCTCGAGTACCCAGGGATGCAATGCACTACAGAAGCTGCAGGGATCTCTGCCCAAGAAAGCCTGAGTATTGTCCAAGGTTTCTCCCCACTGAGACAGCTTGATATATGGCCTCATGGGAAGTGAAAGACCTGACCATCTCCCAGCCCAACACCCATAAAGGGTCTGTGCTGAGGAGGAATAGTGAAAGAGGAAGGTCTCTTTGCAGTTGAGATAAGAGGAAGGCATCTGTCTCCTGCTCGTCCCTGGGAATGGAATGTCTCGGTGTAAAACCCAATCATACATTCTATTTACTGAGATAGGAGAAAACCGCCTTATGGCTGGAGGTGAGACATGCTTGTGGGAATACTGCTCTTTACTGCACTGAGATGTTTGTGTAAAGTCAAACATAAATCTCGCCTATGTACACATCAAGGCACAGCACCTTTCCTTAAACTTATTTATGACACAGAGTCCTTTGTTCACATGTTTTCCTGCTGACCCTCTCCCCAGCATTACCCTATAGGCCTGTCACGTCCCCCTCACAGAGAATAGTAGAGATAGTAATCAATAAATACTGAAGGAACTCAGCGACCAGTGCCAGTGTGGGTCCTCCATATGCCAGTTCCCTGGGCCCACTTTTCTTCCTCTATATTTTGTCTCTGTGTCTTATTTCTTTTCTCAGTCTCTCATCTCCACCTTGCGAGAAATACCCACAGGTGTGGAGGGGCAGGATTCCTTCATCTGGCGCCCAAGGTGGGGCACAAACCCACGACCCTGAGATTAAGAATCTCATGCTCTACCAGGTGAGCTAGCTGCAGAATGCAACAGAGGTGACACAACATAACTTCTGAGGCTAAGGCAGAAAAGGCCCTGTAGCCTCATCTTGGCTGTCTCAGAGCCAGCACCATGCTGTGAGAAGCCCATCCACGCCACATGAGAAGGTCACACACAGGTGCTCTGGCTAGCAGCCTCAGCTGAGCCTAGTTTTCAAGTAATCTCAGCCTGGCACATAGAAACAGAGAGGAAGAAGCCTTCAGATGATTCTAGTCCCTAACCTTCTGAGTCTTCCAGCTGAGATTCAAGACATCATGGTGTGAAGATAAGCTGTGCAGTAAAGGATTAACAGAGTGAGTCTGGGTTACCCATAAACTGAACATTCCAAAGAAAGGCTCAGCCTTTGCCTGTCCCTGGGAGGTAACTTCTAAATCAAACTTTTCCAACCTGTGGACCATGGGGTGCACGTGGCCCAGGAGGGCTTTGTTTCGTTTGTTGTTGTTGTTGTTGTTGTTGTTTGAGACAGAGTTTCACTCTCTCGCCCAGGCTGGAGTGCAGGGGCACAATCTCAGCTCACTGCAACCTCCAACTCCCAAGTTCAAGCGATTCTCCCACGTTCAAGCAATTCTCCCACTTCAACCTCCCAAGTAGTTGAGATTACAGGCATGCATCACCATGCCCAGCTAATTTTTTGTATTTTTAGTAAAGATGGGGTTTCACCATATTGGCAAGGCTGGTCTCAAACTCCTCACCTCAAGTGGTCTGCCCACTTTGGCCTCCCAAAGTGCTGGGATTACAGGAATAAGCCACTGTGCCTGGCTTCCAGGAGGGCTTTGAATGCAAAACAAATTTGTAAACTTTCTTAAAACATTATGAGATATTTTAGTTTTTCTTTTTTCTTTTTTCTTTAAGCTCATCAGCTGTTGGTAGTGTTAGTATATTTTATGTGTGACCCAAGACAATTCTTCTTCCAGTGTGGCCCAGGGAAGCCAAAAGACTGGACACTCCTACTCTAAGCCATTGGAATATACTGTCTGATGAGCGTCTTTGTTTGCTGGGAGCCTTGGGTCACACAAGATCATGTATGCTAACAATGTATGATGGGAGCCTTGGGCCACACTGTAGTATAGTGGCCTCTGAAGGGGCTGAAGAATAAGGTCAGCCACTCATGTGATCAGCCTTGCCCATAATAACTAAAGCCAAATAAAAACCCTGGACACCCAGGCTCAAGTGGGCTTCCTGGACTGGCAATATGTCATGCCTGTTGTCACACATCATGGCTAGGACAATCAAACATTGTCTGTGTAACTCCATGGGGTGAGGAAAACTCGAAGCTTCTGCACAGAATCTCCCAAAACTTGCCCTACACACCTTTCTCTGTTTCCTGCCACATCCCCCTCACTGAGATGGTAGAGATAGCGATCAATAAATACTGAGAGAACTCAGAGACCAGTGCTGGTGCAGGTCCTCTCTATGCTGAGTGCTGGGCCCCAGGGCCCATTTTTCTTTCTCTATACTTTGTCTCTGTGTCTTATTTCTTTTCTGTCTCTTGTCCCACTTGAAGAGAAATACTGACAGGTGTGGAGGGGCTGGCCCCCTTCACCTCATAAATATTGAACAAATATAATATGAGGTCTCACTATGTTGCCCAGGCTGGTCCCGAACTCCTGAGATCAAGCGATCCTCCCACCTCCGCCTACCAACGTGCTGAAATTACAGGTGTGAGGCCACTGTGCCCAGGCTCATAATATCCTTTTAATTATGATCATTATGAAACCTCTTCAAATCCACTGGAAAACCAAGTAGGAAGTCAAAATATACATATATAACTCACTTGGGACTTGGACATTTTCTGGTGCCCTTAGATACAGCCAGCAACGGGAATATTTGTTCTATTGTTGACTCTGGCTCTTCTCTGAAGCTGGTCACTGGTCAAGGATGATGTATTGATCTTAATACCTTCACTTCCTTCCCTTATAGGAAATATTTTTTCCCAGGAAGCCAGGACCTGAGGATTAAAGGAATTCACTGCCTTAGTAAACTATGATTATAACAGATGTTTTGAGTTGTTTGAGTTGTGTATATGTGTGCCTTAGATACACACATATACACAATTATTTAACTGTTAACTGTGTTTTCTTCAGGTGATAGGTTAATCTAATAATTTAAAGGAAAAAAAAGTAACATACAGTACCAGATGGTTGGTTTTACAAGAAACACAATTATTTTATATAGCAAACACCAACAAAGTCATCTTCATTAAATTATGAAATCCTGCCAAAAACTATACCCAAAGGTCTTCATTTGGAAAAAAACAGTTATAAAGAGAAAGGGGGAGAAAAATCAAAGGAGAAAATTTTAAAAGCCAAAAAAAAATCCAGAGAAACAGATAGAAGAAGTGGAATACTGTTTGTTAATCCATCTTGGGTACCTACTATGTGCTATGTATTTTTACTATATGAGTAGTTATTAATGATTTTGTTTTTATACAAGTAAAAAAAGAATCTCAGAGAAGTTAAAACACTCGCCCATGTTCTCACAGTATAAATGCAGAATACAGATAAAAACCTAAGTCTGCTCAAATCCGAAGTCTGTATGCTTTGCTGAGTCAAACTTACCTGTAGATGTTCTGACTGCTTCCCTAGAAAACCTATACTTAAACATATTAGTAATATATTAATAAAACATATTAGTAATAATGCATATTATTACTAAATAATAAAACATATTATTTATTATTAAATAATAGTAATAAAACACATTAGTAATTGTAGAGAGCCAGAGGCTGGGGAATTGTGACCAAGTCAGCCTTCCACTGAGGCTATATGATCAAACAGCACATTGCTTATCATGAATGCAGAATGTGGGCAAACTCGCTTCTGTCCCGGCCCCAGAAGGTTTGCTGAGGGCCATCACTCCCTGGCGCTGGGATTCTTGAGGTTATGTACTAGGACATCTAGAGCTTATTGTTTGAGGAATGCAGTCTTGCAGACCTGCTTTGGACTGACAACCACCCCCCTTCTCGCTACCAATAAATCCTAAGACAGCTCAAAGTTTAGGGCCCTTGTTCACTAAGAGCAAGGTGCCCCCGACCACTTCTTCCAAATACACTCTTTTGCGCCTTTTGTCTTTATTCCCTCATTCGCCCTCCTTTGTTCAGTCCAACAGGGTCCGTGGCATAGTGGCTCAATGAACAGCGACAGAATTGGATGACATGGTCACATCCGAACACAGGGACACAAGGACATGAATGAAGAAGGTCTGCTGGAGCAGAGGAACTGAAATTGACAAGATGAATGGGGACCCCGGGACGAGTTGGCTGGCAGCAGATATGAGGTCAGTACCTAAAGAGGCACTGTGAGCATTGCTTTAAAGAAGTACTGGGAATGGGAAGTTTTCTGAATCAGGGTAACATGGGGCAGAATTTGTCTATTGAAGAAAAATACTATGTGCAGTTGCTTAAAGTTTTACTTAACCTGGTGCTCAGGTGTGAGGAAAAGAGAGATCAGACTGTTACTGTGTCTATGTAGAAAGAAGTAGACATAAGAGACTCCATTTTGTTCTGTACTAAGAGAAATTCTTCTGCCTTGAGATGCTGTTCATCTGTAACCCTAGCCCCAACCCTATGTTTGCAGAGACATGTGCTGTGTTTACTCAAGGTTTAATGGATTTAGGGCTATGCAGGATGTGCTTTGTTAAACAAGTGCTTGAAGGCAGTATGCTTGGTAAAAGTCATCACCATTCTCTAATCTCAAGTACTCAGGGAAACAATAATACACTGCAGAAGGCCGAGGGACCTCTGCCTAGGAAAGCCAGGTATTGTCCAAGGTTTCTCCCCATGAGACAGTCTGAGATATGGCCTCCTGGGAAGGGAAAGACCTGACTGTTGCCCAGCCCGACACCCATAAAAGGTCTGTGCTGAGGAGGATCAGTGAAAGAGGAAGGCCTCTTTGCAGTTGAGATAAGAGGAAGGCATCTGTCTCCTCCTGTCCCTGGGAATGGAATGTCTCGGTGTAAAACCCGATTGTATGTTCTATTTACTGAGATAGGAGAAAACTGCCTTATGGCTGGAGGTGAGCCATGCTGGCGACAATACTGCTCTTCAATGCACCAAGGTGTTGGTGTACGTGCACATCAAGGCACAGCACCTTTCCTTAAACTTATTTATGACACAGAGCCCTTTGTTCACATGTTTTCCTGCTGACCCTCTTCTGACTATTACCCTATTGTCCTGCTTCAACCCCCTCTCTGAGATGGTAGAGATAGTGATCAATAAATACTGAGGGAATTCAGAGACCAGAGCTGGCGCATGTGTTCCGTATGCTGAGCGCTGGTCCCCTGGGCCCACTGTTCTTTCTCTATATTTTGTCTCTATCTCTTATTTCTTTTCTCAGTCTCTTGTCCCGCCTGATAAGAAACACCCACAGGTGTGAAGGGGATGGCACCCTTCAACTTATGAAAAGTCAGTGGGACTTTAAAAATCCCAATGCCTTGCAAAACCCAAAGACTTCCGAAGCTCCAACCCCGCTACGAATTTCTTGGGTACCCATGCCTGCCTACGTCATACTTAAAATACCAGCACAAGGCCACCCCAGATCATCCTAGTTGATTCCTACAGGGAAACTATCACTGGTCTATCGAGACACAAACACTCAGACCCTCGTAACTCTCAGTAACCACTGAAGATCCTCAAAGGCAAGAAAAACTTCAGCCCCAACAATGACCTCCCTACAAGGCCACCCCATTCACTGACCACCTCCAAAGATGCCCCAATACTAATCTAACTCAGGGACATTTCAGCCACTGACCTCACCTGTTGGACACTCCAATTAGTGACCCTGAGAAGAACGGGGGTCATTATCCTTGGGGATAATCACTGACTTATCCCCAAGGATGTCTCAACTGTTGACATTGTGCCCTTCAATGCTGTCCCAAGAACTGAACTTCCCCCAGAAGGCCTAAGGTACTGATACACCCCCAAAAGATAGGCAATTTCCTTCAATAACACGTCAATCACATCCTGGGAAAAATCACAATTGCTGAATCACTCTGTGGATCACTCCAATCACTAATCTGCCTCCAAGGTCGCCCTAGTCCGCGACCTTGGGGTTAGACAAAGGTTAACCTCAAGCACTAACGTCCTCTAGCCCACCCCAATCCCTCCAGCCCACCCCAATACCAATCTCAGGGAAAGCTGGCAGCTTTCCCTACCATCCCTTTTCCCCACACTGGCTAGCTCCCCTCATGGACGCCCCAGACTCTCCTACCATAAATCTCAAATCTCCACAAACCCAACTCCTGATTCTGCTCCGCGAACGTGAAACTGAGCCCCCTTAAAAGATCCTGGGCGCACCAGCTGGGTCGCAAGCGCCCTGGTCCATCACTTTTGCTACAGACTCACAAGCCTGGCTGCTCCACCTCACTGGTCAAGTTTAATCTCTAGAGCCGCCAAGTCTGCAGTCTTCCAGTCATCACCTTGGGCCCATTAGATTCAGCTTCCCGGTCTTTTAAGACACAGAGGCTGAGAGTATGGGGGTGCTCTCGTAACTGATACATATCAGGGCCGCCATCTTGAAAGATTCTCCCTACACAATCTCCCCGCCCACGATAATTTTATTGGTCCGGGTTGAGTCCATCGTGGGGGTCGCCAACGACAATGCGCATGCGCCATCCCATCGCTGTGCAACACAGGTCCAATCCTGCCCGGCAAGGTGCACCAAGCTTAGCATGGCCTATGTTTTTGCTGCTTGTAAGTAGGAAGCAGCTCCACGTTACAGCATGCGCGGCCATCTTGGAGAAGGTGTACATATCCGTACAGAAAACAGCGACGTCCCTTAGGGGAGCAGGTGAAACGACCTCCAGGAATGCTTATGGGGAACAGTATAGGGTTTGGAGATCACTGTGGGCACAGGGTAATCAGAGCCAGCTGAATGAAAAGATCTCCCTCACCCAGGGTTAGTGGTGGGTATTGGGTGACATCTCCAGGGTGAAAGGTGAAGGTAAAGGGACAGTAGGGGGCGGAGCTAATAGTGAGGGCGGGGCTTTTCTGTTGACCAAGTTGGAGCCCAGAAAGGATTGGTAGAAATTTTTGTGCAAGCTGCATGTCAAATCAATAATTTCTACTAAGTTTTGGAATTGCTGATCCAAAGAAAATGAAAAATTTTAATTGAGTAAATAATTCCAGATTGTTGTCCAAAAAATGTTCTATTAGTGTATATACTATACTAGCTGCTATCCATTGTTCCCAAGAACTCCACTGAAAACTACTAGTTAATATTTTAAGTGTATACACTTTTTTTGAATAGGTACCTATGTCAAGCATAATATTTGCATTATCTGACATAATACTATAAAAGCTGTAGATGGTAGACATAAATATTACCTTCATTCTGCATATTTAAAAAGGCTTAGGGGCTGGGTATGGTGGCTCACCCCTGTAATCCCAGCACTTTGGGAGGCCAAGGCGGGAAGATCACCACGTCAGGAATTCAAGACCAGCATGGCCAACATGATGAAACCCTGTCTCTACTAAAAATACAAAAATTAGCTGGGCATGGTGGCGCACACCTGTAATTCCAGCTACTCGGGAGGCTGAGGTAGGAAAACTGTTTGAACCAGGACCCAGGAGGCGGAGGTTGCAGTGAGCCAAGGCACTCCAGCCTGGGCTACAGATCTAGACTCCGTCTCAAAAAAAAAAAAAAAAAAAAAAAAAAAAAACGCTTAGAAAGGCTAGGTCTATTGCAATACATATTTCCTCGCAACCTTGGCCGTTTAATTTTGTCGATCTTAAGGGTGAATTGCGGGGGAAAGAAAGAGAGATCAGACTGTAGAGAAAGGAAGATGTAAGAAACTCCATCTTGATCTGTACTAAGAAAAATTCTTCTGCCTTTAGATGCTGTTAATCTGTAACCCTAGCTGCAACCCTGTGCTCGCAGAAACATGTGCTGTGTTGACTCAAGGTTTAATGGATTTAGGGCTGTGCAGGATGTGCTTTGTTAAAAAGTGTTTGCAGGCAGTATGCTTGGTAAAAGTCATTGCCATTCTCCAGTCTCGAGTACCCAGGGACACAATACACTGCAGAAGGCCGCAGGGACCTCTGCCCAAGAAAGCCTGGGTATTGTCCAAGGTTTCCCCTACTGAGACAGCCTGAGATATGGCCTCTTGGAAAGGGAAAGACCTGAGTGTCCCCCAGCCCGACACCTGTAAAGGGTCTGTGCTGAGGAGGATTAGTGAAAGAGGAAGGCCTCTTTGCAGTTGAGATAAGAGGAAAGCATCTGTCTCCTGCTCCTCCTGATGGTAAGTTCAATTTACTGAGATAGGAGAGAACTGCCTTAGGGCTGGAGGTGAGACATGCTGGCGACAATACTGCTCTTTACTGCATTGCGATGTTTGTGTAAAGTCAAACATAAATCTCGCCTATGTACACATCGAGGCACAGCACCTCTCCTTAAACTTATTTATGACACAGAGACCTTTGCTCACATGTTTTCCTGCTGACCCTCTCCACACCATTACCCTATAGTCCTGCCACATCCCCCTTTCCGAGATGGTAGAAATAGTGATCAATAAATACTGAGGGAACTCAGAGACCAGTGCCGGCGGCGTGGGTCCTCCATATGCTGAGCGCAGGTCCCCTGGGCCCACTTTTCTTTTCTCTACACTTTGTCTCTGTGTCTTATTTCTTTTCTCAGTCTCTCATCCCACCTGACAAGAAATACCCACAGGTGTGGAGGGGCTGGCCCCTTCATGAATAAAAATCTTACCTTAGTTTTATTTCATATTTTATAAGTTGCTTGTTTATTTACTTCAGTATTTTTTTCAACTTTATATTGGTTCTCTTTTTCTTATTCATACTGTGAATATTAACACCTGTTAATTCTGCCATTCCCCCCACCTCTAGATTTGTCTATATGGACTTTTCATATAAATGCAATCATATAATCTTAAGTCTTTTGTGACTGGCTTCTTCCTTTAGGACGTTTTCAAGGTTCATTTATGTTTTAGCATGTTTCAGCACTTCATTCCTTTTTATACCTGCATAATATTCTAATGTATGGCTATAGTTGAAGGGGTGGCCTGCCCCTCCACACCTGTGGGCATTTTTTTGTCAGGTAGAACGAGAGACTTGAGAAAAGAAAGAGACACGGAGACAAAGTACAGAGAAAGGAAAGTGGGCCCGGGGGACCAGTGCTCAGCATATGGAGGACCCATGTGGGCACAGGTCTCTGAGTTCCTTCAGTATTTATTGATCATTATCTTTACCATCTCAGAGAGGGGGATGTGGCAGGACAATAGAGTAATAGTGGGGAGAGGGTTAGCAGGAAAACATGTGAACAAAGATCTCTGTGTCATAAATAAGTTTAAGGAAAGGTGCTGTGCCTTGATGTGCATGTAAACAAACATCTCCACAAACATTTCTATGCATTAAACGGCAGCATTGCCACTACCACATCTCACCTCCAGCCCTAGGGCGGTTTTCTCCTATCTCAGTAAATAGAACATACAATCAGGTTTTACACGGGTTTCGCATTGCCCAGGGACGAGCAGGAGACATATGCCTTCCTCTAGCTCAACTGCAAAGAGGCCTTCCTCTTTCACTAATCCTCCTCAGCACAAACCCTTTATGGGTGTCGGGCTAGGAGACGGTCAGGTCTTTCCCTTCCCATGAGGCCATATTTCAGACTAGCACATGCGGAGAAACCTTGGACAATACCTGGCTTTCCTAGACAGAGGTCCCTGTGGCCTTCCGCAGTGTTTTGTGTCCCTGGGTACTAGAGATTAGCGAATGGCCTTTTACCAAGCATACTGCCTTCAAGCACTTTTTTAACAAAGGACATCCTGCATAGCCCTAAATCCATTAAACCTTGAGTAAACACAGCACACGTCTCTGCAAGCACAGGGTTGGGGGTAGGGTTACAGATTAAGAGCATCTCAAGGCACAAGAGTTTCTATAGTACAGAACAAAATGGAGTCTCTTATGTCTACTTCTTTCTACATAGACCCAGTAACAGTCTGATCCCTCTTTCTTTTCCCCACAATACTACATTTTATTTTTCCCTTCATCAGATGATGGATAATTGAGTTGTTTTCACTTCAGGCTATTATAAATAATGCTGCTATAAACATTCATGCACAAATTTTTGTATGGACATGTTTTTATTTCTCTTGGATATAAACCCAGGAGTGAAACTGTCAGATCATATGGTCAGTATGTTTAACCATTTGAGGAACTGCCAGATTATTTTCCAAAGTGGCTGCACCATTTTACATTTCCACCAGCAGTATGTGAAGGTTCCAGTTCTTCCATATCCTCACTACACTTGTTATTCCGTGTAAATGGAATCATATAACATGTTCTCTCTTCTCTCTTTCTGCCTGGCTTCTTTCTCTCAGAATAAGGTGTGGGGGAAAGAAAGAGAGATCAGATTGTTACTGTGTCTATGTAGAAAGAAGTAGACATAAGAAACTCCATTTTGTTCTGTACTAAGAAAAATTATTCTGCCTTGAGATGCTGTTAATCTGTAACCCTAGCCGCAACCCTGTGCTCGCAGAAATGCGCTGTGTTGACTCAAAGTTTAATGGATTTAGGGCTGTGCAGGATGTGCTTTGTTAAAAATGTGTTTGCAGGCAATATGCTTGCTAAAAGTCATCGCCGTTCTCCAGTCTCGAGTACCCAGGGACACAGTGCACTGCGGAAGGCCGAAAGGACCTCTGCCCAAGAAAGCCTGCGTATTGTCCAAGGTTTCTCCCAACTGAGACAGCCTGAGATATGGCCTCATGGGAAGGGAAAGACCCGACCGTCCCCCAGCCCGACACCCATAAAGGGTCTGTACTGAGAAGGATTAGTGAAAGAGGAAGGCCTCTTTGCAGCTGAGATAAGAGGAAGGCATCTGTCTCCTGCTCGTCTGGGAGGAATGGAATGGAATAGAATGTCCTGGTGTAAAACCGGATCATACATTCTATTTACTGAGAAAGGAGAAAACCGCCTTATGGCTGGAGATGAGACATGCTGGTGACAATACTGCTCTTTACTTCTCTTTGTGTAAAGTCAAACATAAGTCTGGCATACGTACATACCAAGGCACAGCACCTTTCCTTAAGCTTATTTATGACACAGAGTCCTTTGCTCACGTTTTCCTGCTGACCCTCTCCCCACCATTACCCTATAGTCCTGCCACATCCCCTTCACTCAGATGGTAAATATAGTGATCAATAAATACTGAGGGAACTCACAGACCAGTGCCGGCGCGGGTCCTCCATATGCTGAGTGCCGGTCCCTTGCACCCCCTGCGCCCACTGTTCTTTCTTTATACTTTCTCTGTGTCCTATTTCTTTTCTCAGTCTCTCGTCCCACCTGACAAGAAATACCCATAGGTGTGGAGGGGCTGGCCCCCTTCATAAGGTTGTTGACATTTATCTATAATGGTGCATACATCTGTGATTTGTTCTTTTATTATTGTTGAGTAGTATTCCAGGGTATGATTACATTACCATTTGCTTATACATTCATCTACTGATGGACACCTGGACTGTTTCCTGTTCAGGGTATTATGCATAAAAGGACCAAGAACATTCTTGTGAGACTTTGTGAGGACATATAGTTTCATTACTGTTGAATAAATATTTAGGAGTGAAATTCCTGAGTCATAAAATTCTTGCTTTTATTTTGCAGTTCTCCTAAGGAGTCATATAGTTCTGTAAAGCTTTTTACTCTTCACAGATTCGATATTTTAAGTAACATGGTATGCTTCTGAAATGGAGTTTGCATTTTGGGGCATTTTCTATAGATTTATCATGAAGGACACGTGAAAACTCTGTTAGAAATAGAAACACTCCACTACACGCGAATTTCCTTCTCATTCTTGCAATGGAATTGTCTTAATTTAGGTTGGATCAGAATTAGAATTTACATTATGATGACTATGTAAATAATATTTATAGGTCAGTCAGGTAGTATCCTATGATTTCTTTTCTTGCATAACTTTTTTTTTTTTCTTTTTTCTTTTTTTCCTCAAGAAGGGGTTGCCAAGGCTGCGTGGTGCAGTGGCTATTGATAGGTGCGATCATAGCTCACTGCAGCCTGGAACTACTGGGCTCAAGCGATCTTCCTGCCTCGGTTTCCCCAGTAGCTGGGACTACATGTGCGCGCCATCGCGCCCGGGCTTGCACAACTTTTCATTCTCCCAGAGTCGTCTTATTTATTCCTTATAGAATTTTAGGCACTTGGTTCTCGGAAAGCCCCGACCTTAAGATTGACTCCACCTCCAGCAGAGGGAAGCCCTTCTCCTCTCTTAAGAAAAATTCCCTCCTCCCACATTGGATTCCCTTTTCCTGTTGGCTCCTGGCTGCTCTCCTTACCTGCACTGGGCGGTGACCATGTCCCTCAAACGTAAATAAGGTTCCGGCTGGTCGCTGTTTTTTCACTTTCCGTTGACGGGGTGAACAATATCCTGGTACCTCAATTGCTTCTCCACACCCTTTTTGTCCTAAAAAATCTTCCTCTTGCCCATGTAGCTAGAAGCGTTTTCGCGGTATATAACTCAGGGTGCGATTGTTCTTTTTCCTCAGCGGAGACAGCGTTTTCACTTGTACGGACACCTAACTTCTAAGATGGCCGCACCCATTGTGTCATTCCGGTCATTCTTCGTGCAAAGCGGATGACTTTTCCCCCCAGCCCGCTAAGGTGCACGTAGCCCATCCCGTGTTTGTCTTGGCTAAGCTCGAGCCTCTGAAAATAAATGAAACTTGAGTGCAGGATTTAGGTGCCAAAATATGGGGTTCTTCACGGTCCCGAGCCATCCCTGCATACTTGGGCAGAAAAGATCCACTTTACCTTCCGTACGTGCAGGATTCAAAGATGGCCGCCTTCAGTATCCGTGACGAGAGGACGCGAACTTACTACCGCCCTGTCGTCCGTGCTCCGTACACCTGCAACTTCAGACCTTCGTCGGCCGCCGTAGGCCGGCTTGGAGGCTGTGGGAGGGCCCAGAAGTGGAAGAATTCAGGAAAAGTGCAGGCTCAGGGAAGTGTCGGTGGGTTCCCCGGAAAATCAGGTCTGTGTGTGGGTCCGTCTGTCAGGATGAGGGGAGGAGGGTGTCTGTGAGCGTCCGTTTAGTGCGGAGTCGTGGAGTTTGTGGGGGAAGCTGGAGCAAGTGGGAGTCGGGATGTTGGAGTTGGGGCGTCTCAGGATTCAGCCCTGAGGGATCCCAGTGGTCAGTGGTCAGTCTGTCGAGCGCAACGCTTGGAAGTCCGTGATCAGGGTTTGGTGCCTTTACGGGTCACTCTGTAGGGCTCGGTGGTTGAGGACTGGAGTGAGGAGTGGTTTTTGTCAAGGAAAACGGTGTCTGCCGTGGATTCGGGATTTTATTTTTTTATTTTTGAGACAGGGTCTCGCTCTGTCACACAGGCTTGAGTGCAGTGGCGCGATCGTGGCTCACTGCAGCCTCCATCTCCCGGGGCTCAGGTGATCTTCCCACCTCAGCTTTCCCGAGTAGCTTGGACTACAGGTGAGCGCCACCACGCCTATCTATCTAATTATCTATCTATCTATTTTATCTATCTATCTATCTATCTATCTATCTATCTATCTATCTATCTATCTACTTATTGCAGAGATCTATCTATCTATCTATATCTATCTATCTATCTACTTATTGCAGAGATCTATCTATCTATCTATCTATCTATCTACTTATTGCAGAGATGGGGGTCTCACTATGTTGCCCAGGCTGGTCTCCAACTCCTGGCCTCAAACGATCCTCTCACCTTGGCCTCCCAAAGTGCTGGGATTACGGGCGTGAGCCTTCGCTCCAGGCTGTAATCAGGATTTAATATGTGACTCAGTGAGGAGGAGCCCGGGTTCATGTGAACCTGGGTGTGTGGTCCAGGTTTTAGGATTAATCTTAGGGGGTGTGACCAGCGTTAGGGAGGTCTGGACGCTTGTGAAGGCTGAAGCCTTGGCAGCCGAGGCATGCTGATTGGTGTGTGTGCTGAAGTCCAATGGTAATTCCCTCTCAGTCCCTTTTAAGTTTCTCTGCAAGGACTGGTTTACAGACCTCATTTGACTTCTCACATCACTCCTCCCTCTCATCCTGGTAAATAGGAAACCTTGGGGAAGATCAAAGATTAATCAAATCTGGCGCGGTGGTTCACACCTGTATTCCCAGCATTTGGGAGGCCAACGTGGGCAGATTGCTTGAGCCTAGGAGTTGCAACCAGCCTGAACAACACAGCCTGTCTCTCCAAAAAAAGACAAAAATTAACTGGGTGTGGTGACACATGCCTGAGTCCCAGCTACTCACCTGACCCTTAGGAGGTCTAGGCTGCAGTGAACTATGATTGAGCCACTGCACTCCAGCTTGGGCAACAGAGTGAGGCCCTGTCTCAACAGAAAAAAAGAAAGAAAGAGAGAGAGAGAGACAGAGAGAAAAGGAAAAAAACAAAAAAAGAAAATGATACGGTTTCTATTAAAGATTTTCGTCTTTCTTCCTCAAGTTTACTGTGTGAATGTATGTATACACACACATAAATATTTTCTTTCAGGTTCTGACACAAGTAAAACAACATCTCTCTTATCCCAAAATGTGTTCCCCAGTAATGACTTTTGATAAGATTTTCGTATATTTTAATTTCAGTTTTCTATGCTTGATTTTTCACAATTCAGATAAACTACTGAAACATTGGTATAATTTGCCCTATTTAATTTTATATTATAACATTCTTATACTAAACATATCATACATGTTTTTGTTTAAAAACTTTTTTTAAGATTTCTGTAATAGTATACCATCAAGAGGCAAAACTGCACCATTGTGACTTGAATCACTAAGTATATGGATATATTTAGATAGAATTTTAAGACTTAAAATGTTCACTTATCACTTTTAAGAACTGGTTATGATTCTGTGTTTACCCAAACATGTTTCTCCCTGACCCTCATCAGCACCTTGGTTTTTAATTTTTTTGCAATTGTAAATGGTGTATTTTTATTTTTGACCTTTCTGTTCTCTTCCAATTTACTCTTACATAGAAGAGCAATTAGTTTATAAAATATTTACATTGTTTTTGGTCACCTTACTGAACAAGCTTCCCTGTTCTCCAGGTTACAAAACTTTTCAAACATATAACACGATTTAAAGAACTTTACAATTGAATACCTGTATGCCTACCACCTGGATTTTATCATCATTTTATTGTGTTTCTTTTATTACATATCTATCTGTATATCATCCTTCTACTCATCATTAATCCATCTTTTTTTCTTTTTGTAGAGATGGCATCTCACTATGTTGTCCAGACTGATCTTGAACTCCTGACCTCAAGTGATCCTCTCTCCTTCGCCTCCTAAAGTGCTGGGATTCCAGGTGTGAGCCACCTCACCCGGTCACATTTATCCATCTTGTAAAATATTGCTTTGTTTTTTGGGGGCATTTCAAAGTAAGTTGCAGACATTCATACATTTGCCCCTAAATATTTTAGTAGGTTTATCATAATTAAGTTCTACTGACAGCTTTTCCTAATTACAGGTCTATTAGTCACATACTGTATAATTCAGTGGCTTTTACTATGTGCAGTCATCACCAAAGTCAATTTTAGAACATTTTCATCACTTAAAAAGAAGCCCCGTACCCTTTTGTTGTACAACCACTACTTGCAGTCACTTCATATTCTCCCCTCCAGTAGACCCTGGCAACCACCCATGTGCTTTCTGTCTCTTTTTGTAGAGTGCCTGATTCTGTCGCTGTTCGGGGCGCCACTTGTAACCGACCACAATCCCTGGTGGACTGAACAAAGCGGGGCAAATGCTAGAATAAAAGACAAAGATAAGGCCGGGCGCGGTGGCTCAAGCCTGTAATCCCAGCACTTTGGGAGGCCGAGACGGGCGGATCACGAGGTCAGGAGATCAAGACCATCCTGGTGAACACGGTGAAACCCCGTCTCTACTAAAAAATAAAAAAAAAAACTAGCCGGGCGAGATGGCGGGCCCCTGTAGTCCCAGCTACTCCTCGGGAGGCTGAGGCAGGAGAATGGCGTGAACCCGGGAGGCGGAGCTTGCAGTGAGCTGAGATCCGGCCACTGCACTCCAGCCTGGGCGGCAGAGCGAGACTCCGTCTCAAAAAACAAACAAACAAACAAAAAGACAAAGATAAAATAGTATATTTGGAAGAAGGGGTGGGGGCACCTTGCCTCTAGTGGACAAGGGCCCTGAGCTTTACGCAGCCCTCTGTATTTATTAGCCAAAAGAGATAGAGAGAAGCGGGGTGGGGGAGGGGAGGGGGGGTGGCGGTGGGAGTGGTTGCGGGGGAGGCAGGTGATTGTTGAGTAATTGTCAGTCGGGCCCTTTGGTTCACAGCAGGCTTGTGAGACTGCATTCCTTTAACAATAGACTCTAGATGCCCCCGTAGATGGCCTCAAGGAGCCTGGCGCCAGGGAGTGATGGCCCTCAGCAAACTTTCTGGGACAGGTACAGAAGCAAGTTTGCCCACATTCTATACTTATGATAAACAGTTTGCTGTTTGATCATGTAGCCTCCAGTGGAATGCTGAGTTGATCACCATCCCTTTGGCCTTTTCAGCTCCCAACATTTTTTTTTTTTTTTGAGACAGAGTTTCACTCTGGTTTCCCTGGCTGAAGTGCAATGGCTTGATCTCACCTCACCGCAGCCTCTGCCTCCCGGGTTCAAGCAATTCTGCCTCAACTAGGATTACAGGCATGCCCCCACCACACCTGGCTAATTTTGTATTTTTAGTAGAGACTGGGTTTCTCTATGTTGGTCGGGCTGGTCTCGAACTCCTGATCTCAGATGATCTGCCCACCTCGGCCTCCCAAAGTCCTGGAATTACAGGCATGAGCCACCGCACCCGGCCAGTGTGCTTTCTGTCTCTATGCATTTACCTAATCTGGGTATTTTATATAAATGAAATCATATAATGTGACATTTAGTGTCTGATATTTTCTTTTTTTTTTGAGACAGGGTCTCACTCTGTTGCCCAGGCTGGAGTGCAGTGGTGTACTCTTGGCTCACTGCAACCTCTGCCTTCTAGGCTCAAGCAATTCTCATGCCTCAGCCACCCTAATAGCTGGGATTACAGGCGCACACCACCATGCTTGGCTAATTTTTTAACTTTTTATAGAGATGGAGTTTCTTCATGTTGCCCAGGCTGGTCTTGAACTCTTGAGCTCAAAGCAATCTCCCCGCCTTGGCCTCCCAAAGTGCTGGGATTACAGGTGTGAGCTCCTGCACCTGAGTGTCTGACATTTTCACTTAGTATAATGTTTTTGTGGTTGTGGGTTGTGTGCTGGGCTACTCCTTTTTTTTTTTTGAGACGGAGTCTCGCTGTGTCGCCCAGGCTGGAGTGCAGTGGCCGGATCTCAGCTCACTGCAAGCTCCGCCTCCCGGGTTCACGCCATTCTCCTGCCTCAGCCTCCCGAGTAGCTGGGACTACAGGCGCCCACCACCTCGCCCGGCTAATTTTTTGTATTTTTTAGTAGAGATGGGGTTTCACTGTGTTAGCCAGCATGGTCTCGATCTCCTGACCTCGTGATCCGCCCGTCTCAGCCTCCCAAAGTGCTGGGATTACAGGCTTGAGCCACCGCGCCCGGCCTGGGCTACTCCTTTAATGATTAGCCAGGGCATCTGTAAACCTGCCTTACCCTTCACTTCCTGCTTGCACTGAACCTGTAGACATCAACTAGAAGGAACGTTTAGAGTCTTCTCAGGTCTTTTCTCAGCCAACATCCTCCCCTGTGCATGCATGTGGCTTTATAAATTCCTCAGTCTATACGAGTGCTTTTGAATGGCATGATTTCCCCAAGACACTTTCCTCCTAGCTTTTTCTCTCAACCTTTCCTCTATGGCTCAAGTGTAATCTTTTGCCCCAGGCAGCTGAAGGTTGTTGTTCTGCTTCACAAAGTTTTTGAGAAATGCCCGTTACTTTTCCTCCCTGAGTGAGTTCCAAAACAGGAAGGGGCCTGTTGCGTAGGTCCTTCAGGTAGTTAGAAAAGACAACAATCAATTTTTTATTTTTATTTTTGAGACAGGGTCTCACTCTGTCACCCAGGGTGGAGTACAGTGACGAGATCATGGCTCACCGCAGACTCAAACTCCTGGGCTCAAGTGATCCTCCCACCTCAACCTCCCAAAGTGCTGGGATTACAGGCGTGAGCCACTCCACCCAGCTAAACAAAATTATTTGTGAATAAAGCCTATTCTGTTCCCTCCAGGGCCTGAATCCAGGATCCCACATTGGGGATGTTGGCCGCAATGTTTAAGACCATCACTGAGCTGGGGAGGGGGTGGAGCAAAGACAAGTAAAAATGGCCCAGAACTTTCCTACTATTTTTAAGTCACCGTTTTGTTGTTGTTTGTTTTGTTTCTCTGAGATGGAATCTAGCTCTGTTGCCCAAACTGGAGTGCAGTGGCGTGATCTCAGCTCACTGCAACCTCCACCTGCCAGGTTCAAATGATTCTCCTGCCTCAGCCTCTTGAGTAGCTGGGACTACAGACATGTGCCACCACACCCGGCCACTTTTTATATTTTTAGTAGAGATGGGGTTTCACCATATTGGCCAGGTTGGTCTTGAACTCCTGGCCTCAAGTGATCCTCCTGCCTCCGTCTCCCAAAGTGCTAGGATTATACGCAGGCATGAGCCACTGTGCCTGGCCAGTTGCCTTTTTTTTTTACTCAACATTTGCTCTGTTGTTGTGAACCTTTGACTATTTTTCAGAGTCCTGACCAAGTTTTTGTTTCATTTTTATTGTTTTTACTTGATTTTTTGATAGTGTTTTTACTTGAGTTTTTGATTTTTATGTAGAGGGGCGGACTCTTGGACCTACCTACTCTGCTATTTTCACTCAATGAGATTTTCCTCCACAGTATACTTGATTTTGTTTTTTCTGTTGTTGGTACTTTTAAAAAAGAAATAAGCTGATGCAAGTGTACCTTCAGTGATATCCTCTAATCCACCCCCTTTCTTCTCCTCCATCCCTAGGGATAACTATTCTCTTGAACTAATTTCATATAATACATGTTTTATTAAATGTGTACATATCCAAAATTAATACATAGTCTTGTTTTATGTTTTTTAATTTTTTAAATATACTTTTCTTTGTTGTTTCTTTCATATAATGATGATTTGTGAACATGTCCTGTTTGGTAATGATGCTTTAGAATTTATGGAAATTTTCTTTATGGCTTCCTATACATACATGAGTTTTCAGGAAATGTACTCCTCCAGGGAAAGGACCTAGCCACTGGAGCAAACAGGTGTGATTACATTCTCCAGAAAGCTCGTAAGGGTCAAAAATGAAGTAGAAGCTCTTCAGCTGTTCCTGGGAAAGGGGCTGTGGAAGCTCATGGGAAAGGAAGCCTTGCCATTTGAAATGCATACCCTGGATGTCACTGAAATGTTGCATCCACCGCCTCCTGCCCAGGAATATTAGATCATTTGGGTTCTGCACCTTTCCACTGGTGGCATTCTAAGAAGAAAAGTGTGAAACATCTCTTGCCACAATTATGTGCTTCTGAGACTGCAGACGGAAGGGGAGCATTTGTAGCTGTGGGTTAGAGGATGAGTCAGTGCAGGCCCTGTGGGTTTGGAGCATGCAGGAGGGCCACCGGGAGCTTGCTACAATGATTCCATCCAGGTAGAAAGAAAGCTCAGGGTGACTCCATCAAGTTGATGCTCTCACCATGTGAGTCTCTTACTTGAGTTTTAGAATTGGGCCTAAAGAAAGCCTCTGGGGCTGCCACTCTCTGACCTGCTGCTTTCAGGCCAGGGGTGTAGCGTGCAGCTTTTCCATTTGTCTTTGTGCCTGTGTCACTGTTGGCAGTGCTGATTTCAGAAGGTCACATTATATGTCCGTGACGCTGGCCATCTTCCATGATGAATGAAACTCCCTCAAGGTAGTAGCAAAGAGAGCTAAGATGTATGATGACGGTATGCGGTCCAAAGGAATTCAGAGTGGCTAAGGTCATGTCCTTGGAGACAGGCCGTGTCGGTTCAGATTTTACTTCTGTGTTTGGACAATATAGTTCAATCTGTAAGCCTTAGGTCAATATTGGAATGAAAAATAATGATTGATACCTTATAAGGATATAACGCAGTAGGTAGTAATGAGAAATAAGACAGTGCCTCTGCTTGGCTTAGTACGTTTGTCTTCAAACTGAGGCGTGCCTACATGTGAGGTGTATGATGACTGTTGACCAGGCATGTGGACATGTGGTTTTAAAGAAATAAATATCCAAATCCTCACCTTCTCTGTCCTTTTTCTAAAACCTGATCTAAGAAGTGTCTTCGTGTTGCAGCATCATGTTGCTGCTGGTTCTCCTTTCCCAACTCTCCTCACAGTCACCCCACTTCCATTTCACAGAAGAAAGACAGTTTGTAAATGTATTGGTCATACATATAGAGTGTTATATTTTGTTGTCCCAGGATTTGTTGTTGCCCCAGGGTGGGTAAAAACTTCTGGGGCCCCAAATAAAGGGACAGTTAGAGATGGCCTTGCATTAAGGTGAGTACACAGCAGCAGTGACAGCACCTGGGCCTGCAGGGAATGTACACTCCAATAAATTTACTCTTCAGCCCGCAGTTCCTGACTCCAGGGGCGAGACACTTCAAGTGAGGTGAGGAGGAGGTTCCAGGACCTGGATCCCATCTTTTGCAGGGATATAATTCACCAGAGACCAAGATTTCTAGCCAGAAATTGAGGGCAGCTCAAGGAGAGACTCCAGACACAGCATCCTACTTACTGGCTATTTCCCAGTAACAGAAGAAAATGATCAAGTCCCAGGTGACTTTTGGTTTGTTTTATTCTTTCCTTCATCACATGATTGATTTCTGGAAGACTTTAAAAGTCAACTGAATTAAGTGAAAAAGTATAAATTGGTAAACTAGGATTTGTGCATCAGTAAATTTAGATTTTAATTTCAACATCTAGGCAAAGTAGGATCGGGACTATATTGTTCACATGTGGTATCATAGAAAGATATTTGGTCTTTGTCTGCAGTTCCTGGCATAGAGCTCCTAAAACCCTTGGAATTTCCTGAATGATAAGGGTCTTTTTTTTTTTTTATTTTTGAGACAGGGTCTCACTTTGTCACCCAGCTGGAGTGCAGTGGTGCAATCTCGGCTCACTGCAGCCTCTGCCTCCTGGGCTCAAGCAATCATCCCATCTCAGCCTCCCAACTAGCTGGGACTGTGTGCCACCAGGCCCAGCTAATTTTTTGTATTTTTCTTGTAGAGATGGGGTTTCACCATGTTGCACAGACTGGTCTCTAACTCCCGAGCTGAAGCAATCTGTCTCCCTTGGCCTCCCAAAGTTCTGGGACTACAGCTGTGAGCCACTATGCCTGGTGCTCTTTTTTTCTAGTGAGACTACTCTCAGTGGACCCCTAGGTAGCTTTAGTACGGAGACTGGTTGCCAGAAAGACCAAGCCTTGATTAGAAGCTTGGAACTTTCAGTCCTACCCCTAATCTCCAGGGAGTAGAGGGAGGCTGGAGATTGAGTTCAGTCACCAGTGGCCACTGATTTATTCAACCATGCCTGTGTAACATAAAAACCCCTCAACAGCGGGGTTTGGAGAGCTGGGTTGGTGAACACATTGAGGTGCTGGGAGGTTTGTGCATGCAGAGAGAGCATGGAAATTTATGCCCATACACCACCATACCGTGCCCTGTGCAGCTTTTCCATTGGGTTGTTCCTGGGTTGTAAATAAACCAGTAACAGTAAAGTGCTTTCCTGAGTTCTGTGAGTTGTTCTAGTAGATTATTGAACCTCAAGGTGGGTTGCAGAAATCCCCACATTTGTAGCCAAGGGACAAAAGTCTTTGTAACCTGGGGCCCTCACACTTGTGACTGGTGTCTGAAGTAAGGTTGGTCTTGTGGGACTGAAACCTTAACCTATGGGTCTTCCAGGAGTTGGTGTCAGAATTGAATCTTGTATTTGCTCTTTCACTAAATTGGTACATGCTAGACCTTACCTATCCTCTGTATTTATTAATCTGTCTTTTATGTATTGCATCATTCTGCCCTTTTGTTGCATTTTTGGTAGTTTTTTCAGATCTACTTACCAGTTCATTGACTATCTCTTCAGTTAGGCTGCTTACATGCCTGATAATGTAAATATAAATACTTCAAAACCATATGTGTGTGTATGGTTTTTGAATAATATTTTTTATTTTTTTATTATTTATTTATTTATTTTGAGATGGAGTCTCGCTCTGCCACCCGGGCTGGAGTACAGTGGCATGATCTCGGCTCACTGCAACCTTTGCCTCCTGGGTTCAAGTGATTCTCCTGCCTCAGTCTCCCAAGTAGCTGGGATTACAGGCATGTGCCACCATGCCTGGCTAATTTTTGTATTTTTAGTAAAGATGGGGTTTTGCCATTTTGGGCGAGCTGGTCTCGAACTGCTGACCTCAGGTGATCCGTCCACCTAGGCCTCCCAAGGTGCTAGGATTACAGGCGTGAGCCACCATGCCTGGCCTATTTATTTATTTTTTAAGCCAGTCACATTTAGCAGTAGGGGGTAATAATACTTAATTGTCTCTTGTTCTTTGGACATGTTTTGGAAAGGTTCTTTTATTCCTCCTAACATATAAAATACACTTATTTATTATGTAATATCTTGTAGTGTTTGGGGTTTCTTCCTGGTTGATTCTGATAGTGCACATGAAGATTCATTGAAGATTCATGGTGAATAAAGGAGTATGCTTTATTCATCCTGATATTGCTAAAATATATTTAGTGTCTGGCAAATATGTGTTCAAAAAAAAAAAGAGGATTAGCAAGAAGATTAAATGATTGGTTCTTATAGAAACTTCTGATTTGTTAAATGATAGATAATTACACAATTACAGAATATTTTGCTAGAGATAGATTTTGAATATAGATAGACTTTGGAGATGGATTTTTGCCTCTATGACAATGTTTTTTTTTTTTTTTTTTTTTTTTTTTGAGACAGAGTCTCGCTCTGTCGCCCAGGCTGGAGTGCAGTGGCGCAATCTCCACTCACTGCAAGCTCCACCTCCCAGGTTCAAGCCATTCTCCTGCCTCAGCCTCCCGTGTAGCTGGGACTACAGGCGCCCGCCACCGCGCCCGGCTAATTTTTGTATTTTTTTAGTAGAGACGGGGTTTCACCGTGTTAGCCAGGATGGTCTCGATCTCCTGACCTCGTGATCCGCCCGTCTCGGCCTCCCAAAGTGCTGGGATTACAGGCGTAAGCCACCGCGCCCGGCTGACAATGTTATTTTTTAAAAAATCACAGCACCTAGATATATAGATGCAGACTATTTGGTGAAAATGAGCAGAACAATGTCCTTCACATTGCTTCCATATAAATAAGAGAAATACTTCATATTAAGCAGGACTCTCTTATTACAGGAATCACTGACCCTGGAGGATGTGGCTGTGGAGTTCACCTGGGAGGAGTGGCAGCTCCTCGGCCCTGCTCAGAAGGACCTGTACCGGGACGTGATGTTGGAGAACTATAGCAACCTGGTGTCAGTGGGTGAGGACAGCTGCCCTGTGTCACTCAGAGAGTACCCAGTCAAAGGCCTTTGCTCTCTCAGCTTTCAAAAGCTGTGGAGGGCCTGTGTTGCTCTCAAGTGGTAGATCTGTCCTCTCCGTAGCCCCAGATAAAAGAGTATAATGTGCCCCCTTCAGAGAGGAAATCCCTTTGCTTTGCAGACACATAAATTACATAGTTCCTAAAACAGAACATGGTCCCATGTTGATAGACCACAGCTTAATTCAGTGAGCCTAAGTTGTCTTATCATTTCCTATGAACAGGGTATCAAGCCAGCAAGCCAGATGCACTCTCCAAGTTGGAACAAGGAGAACCATGGACAGTAGAAAATGAAATCCACAGCCAAATCTGTCCAGGTGAGTTCAGGGTGAGAGCCAGCAAGGAGGGTAGCTAGCAAGTCACATGATAGTTGTTCAGCAGTGTCTGAGCTGTCAGGGCATCTGAGGCTGTGTGGACAGGGCCTCCATGTATCCCTCTCCCCACACAAAAGCTCTTTCTCCTTCAGGTGTTTAGAGGAACATCTACCTCTTTATCTCCTCTTGGATTTCATCACTGTTTATTTTTTATTTATTTTATTTTATTTTTTTGCGATGGAGTCTCACTCTGTCACCCAGGCTGGAGCCCAGTGGTGCAATCTTGGCTCACTGCATCCTCTGCCTCCCAGTTGCAGCAATTCTCCTGTCTCAGTCTCCCCAGTAGCTGGGATCACAGGCACCCACCACTATACCCAGCTAAGTTTTTTTTGTATTTTCAGTGGAGATGGGGTTTCACCAAGTTGACCAGGATGATCTCGAACTCCTGACCTCTGGTGATCCACCTGCTTCGGCCTCCCGAAGTGCTGGGATTATAGGTGTGAGCCACCACGCCCAGCCTCATCAGTCTTCATTTAATCTAGGTTTCATTTGTTTTTCTCAAGGTTTCTTCCTTTTTAGGATTCTCAAATCTCATCATTTCTTGTTCCCCCATCAGAGCATCTCTACCTGTTCATTCTACTTCTCTTGCTGTGAAATTCCTCCTTCCATGTCTGTCTCCAAAGAGTGATCTTGAATATCAGCACTCTCTCCTGGCCACTATACCTTTCTGCCCCTTTAGATAATGTTGATTTTTCTTCCTAAGGTCTTCCCACACTATCTTGGACTCTGTGCCCCCTTAGTAACCTGGTCTGTTGCTTTGCATGTATTTGCTTCCTTAGCTTCTCTTTTTTCTCCCACTCTGAGGTCCTCCAGAGGTTCTGTTTTCCATTTATTTTGCTCTGTTCTCATATCCTTTAAAAGTTTCCTTCATTCTGATTACTTAAGTTCTTGTTCTCTATGGAGACTCTCAGATTAACATCTCCCTTAATATTTCCTAACTTACATGTTTGTACCATATTTTTTACCCACTTGCATGTCAACTCCTTGAGTCGACCTGGCCACCATAGGGCTACCTTGAAACTTCCCTGCCTCCTCAGCTCCCGTATTTAAAGTCCTTGTTCTTTCAATTGATTTTTGAAGAATTCTCATTCTCTTTCCAACCCAAACCAGATTACTAAACCTCACGCCTGCTTTGCTTCAATTTCCTTTTGGAATCATTAATTCTGCCCATTATTTAGTTTCTCTTAAATTATATTGCTGGGCTTATTCCCTTAAAGCTTTTCTGTTCTTACCATAGTCTGATGGCATTGAGTCCCAGTGAATCATAGCAGTCATATAAGATGGAAATTTCTCATCTGTCAAGTGATATTCTAGTTGAATCTCCATGATATGTTATCATCTTGCTCACACAGAGTTTGCTTTCCTTTTCCTTTTCATAAATTCAAAGCCAACTATATTTAAAGCGCTACATTTGAAGTAGTCTCCCCAGTGTGTCCCATACTTTCCTTGTTTCATTGCCTTAAATATTTTTTGATAGCCTATTACATACGGGCCCTGACAGCTGTGAACATCTAAAACAACAACAGAATTCTTCTTGGAGATTACATGCTAAAAGGAAGAGGCACGAAATTAATCAAAATGGATAAATGTCTTGTGGTGAAAAATGTTGGGAAGATCAATAACAAAGCATAATGAGGGATGCTGGGAGTGGGAATGGGTCTTTGGTGAGATGCCTTTGAGCAGCTGTATGAGAGATGTGAGTACATCCCTCAGGTGAATTACCTTCCAAGTAGACAAAATAGCAGGTCCAAAGGCCCAAGGCAGGTGTGCGTTTGAGAAACTTTTAAGGAAGCCTGTGTGAATACAGAGGAGTGAACAAGAGGGGCAGTGGTTGGAGATAATATGGAGGTAAGGACAGTGTGATGGGATCTGGAGTTTGAGGTAGTCATTTTAATGACTTGATTTTTTTTTTTCTTTTTTTTTTTTTTGAGACAGTCTCTCTCTCTGTCGCCAGGCTGGAGTGCAGTGGCACGATCTCGGCTCATTGTAACCTCTGCCTCCGTGATTCAACCTGATTCAAGCAATTCTCCTGCCTCAGCCTCCCGAGTAGCTGGGACTACAGTTGCATGCCACCATGCCCAGCTAATTTTTGTATTTTTAGTAGAGACAGGGTTTCACCATGTTGGCCAGGATGGTCTTGATCTCCATACCTTCTGATCTGCATGCCTTGGCCTCCCAAAGTGCTGGGATTACAGGCGTGAGCCACCACATCCGGCCATGACTTTTTAAAAAAACATTATGAGATGAGGAAACATGAGGGAGTTTTGAGTAGAAGAGTGACATGATGTCATTTATATTTAAAAGGATCACTTTGACTACTTTATAGAAAGTATACAGGAGAAGGCAGAGGTTGAAACCTGAAGTCCACTAGGGAGGCTATTGCTATAGTACCAGACAGAGTGATTCTCTTCCACCTAGGTAGAGGGGGTGAGTGTTAGTTAGTTGCAGAATACAGGAGTCCCCTGTTATCCACAGTTTCTCTTTCTACAGTTTCAGTTACCCGCAGTCAACTATGGCCTGGAAATGTTAAATGGGAAATTCCAGAAATAAACAATTCTTAATTACATTGCTCACCATTCCAAGGAGCATGAAATCTTGCACCATCTTGCTCCATCCTAGAACAGGAATCATTTTTTTGTCCAGCATATCCATGCTGTGTACCCTATCCACCTGTGTCGCTTAGTAGCCATCTTGGTTATCAGATCAACTGTCAAGGTATCACAGTGCTTGTGTTTAAGTAACCCTTGTTTTACTTAATAGTGTCTCCAATGCTCAAGAGTGTGATGCTGGCCTATTGTTATAATTCTTCTATTTCATGATTTGTTATTGTTAATCTCTTGCTGTGCCTAGTTTATAAACTTTATTATAGGTGTATATGCACTGTATAGGAAAAAACATAACGGATATAGGGTTTAGTGTGATTCAAAGTTTCAGACATCCGTGGTCGGCGGGGTCTTGGAACATATCGCCCATAGATGAGGGATTACTATATATTTATAAAAGAGGACATATGGAATTTCCTGTTGAAGTAGACAAAGGGTGTGAGACAAACATACAAATGAAAGATAATAGTAAGGTTTCTGGCATGAGTGTGAGCAGGAATTAACTTGCCATTTCCTGAGAAATTTACCTTGTTTATACACTGACTGCTTTTATTTTTTGTTTTCTTTGTTTAAATTATAATGTTTTATTCTTATCCAAGTGACAATAGGCATATCTACTTGGAGTTTTTTAAATCATGGAAATAGTGTGGTCAGTAGAGCCAGCCTGTACAAAGCTATTTGTGAAACAGTTCTATTCCATGCTCATGCAAAGATTTATTGTTCTCTTCTTTCCTAGAAATCAAGAAAGTTGACAATCATCTACAGATGCACTCACAAAACCAAAGATGTCTGAAGAGAGTGGAACAATGCCATAAACATAATGCATTTGGAAACATCATTCATCAGAGGAAAAGTGATTTTCCTTTAAGGCAAAATCATGATACATTTGACTTACATGGGAAAATACTGAAATCAAATTTACGTTTAATCAACCAGAACAAAAGGTATGAAATCAAGAAGTCTGTGGGGGTTAATGGAGATGGGAAATCCTTCCTTCATGCCAAGCATGAACAGTTTAATAATGAAATGAACTTCCCCAAAGGTGGAAATTCTATGAATACAAATTCACAATTCATTAAGCATCAGCAAACTCAAAAAATAGATAAACCCCATGTATGCACTGAGTGCGGGAAGGCTTTCCTCAAGAAGTCTCGCCTCATCTATCATCAGAGAGTTCACACTGGAGAGAAACCTCATGGATGCAGTATATGTGGGAAAGCCTTCTCCAGAAAGTCCGGGCTTACTGAACACCAGAGAAATCACACAGGAGAGAAACCCTATGAATGCACTGAATGTGACAAAGCATTCCGCTGGAAATCACAGCTCAATGCGCACCAGAAAATTCATACAGGAGAGAAATCATATATATGCAGTGATTGTGGAAAAGGCTTCATCAAGAAGTCTCGGCTCATTAATCATCAGAGAGTTCATACAGGAGAGAAACCACATGGATGCAGCCTGTGTGGGAAAGCCTTCTCCAAAAAGTCCAGGCTCACTGAACACCAGAGAACTCATACAGGAGAGAAACCCTATGAATGCACTGAGTGTGACAAAGCATTCCGCTGGAAATCACAGCTCAATGCGCATCAGAAAGCTCACACAGGAGAGAAGTCATATATATGCAGTGATTGTGGAAAAGGCTTCATTCAGAAGGGAAATCTCATTGTACATCAGCGAATTCATACTGGGGAAAAACCCTATATATGCAATGAATGTGGGAAAGGCTTCATCCAAAAGGGTAATCTCCTTATTCATCGACGTACTCACACTGGAGAGAAACCCTATGTATGCAATGAATGTGGGAAAGGCTTCAGCCAGAAGACATGCTTAATATCGCATCAGAGATTTCACACAGGAAAGACACCCTTTGTATGTACTGAGTGTGGAAAATCCTGTTCACACAAGTCGGGTCTCATTAACCACCAGAGAATTCACACAGGAGAAAAACCCTATACATGCAGTGACTGTGGGAAAGCTTTCAGAGATAAATCATGTCTCAACAGACATCGGAGAACTCATACAGGGGAGAGACCCTATGGATGCTCTGATTGTGGGAAAGCTTTCTCCCACTTGTCATGCCTTGTTTATCATAAGGGAATGCTGCATGCAAGAGAGAAACGTGTAAGTTCAGTCAAATTGGAAAATCCTTTCTCAGAGAGTCATAGCTTATCACATACAAATGATCTCATACAGGATAAAGACTCTGTTAACATGGCGACTGTGCACATGCCTTCTGTGGCAGCTCAGACTTCATTAACTAACAGTGAGTTCCAAGCAGATAGCAAAGTAGCCATTGTGAGCCAGCCTGTTGCCAGAAGTTTAGTCTCAGCAGATAGTAGAATTTGCACAGAATAAAAACCTTATGAATGCAGTGAATGTGGTAGTGCTTTCAGTGATCAATTACATCTATGTCACAAAAAACAGGAGCAAACTGTGATACATTCAAGGTGGAAAACCCTTGAGTAAAACCTTATGGCTGATAAGCATATACTACAGAGAAAAATAGTATGATGTAGAGACTGGGAAAGTCTTTTATGGGAAGATAGATCCTCTCATCAGTGACCATAGATCACATCATCAGTGAGTTTATAGTTGGCAGAAATATAATGATCATGGAAAAGTCCTTGTTCAGAAATAATACCCTAGTAGGTATCAGGGGGTTTTCACAGGAGGGAAACTGTTGGAAGACCTTTGAAGGCTATGAATCTGGCAGGGTTGCTAGTGGTACATTCTGCCTTATCCTCAGAGGAAATCATAGAAATAAAACTATGAAAATAGTAACTAGAACATCTTAAGCAAAATATGGAAGAACACATGAGCAAGTAAGTCCTGTGAAAAGGAATATTTTAGAGATTTCGATCACAAATCTAACATCATTATACAGCAGATAATATACAGGATGTGTATTTTAGGACAATATACCTTGAATCACTAGTATATGTCAATGACTAATTAAAAGGGGTTGTCAGTGTTACACATCATTGGTTAAATTTATAACACAATGTACCTCTTCCTTCTTTTTTGATATGCGTCTTCTATTCCCAACCAAGATCATTATATGATTAGCTCTTATGTTTCTTTGATTCCAAATTTCTTCACTTGTTATTTCAGACTACTGAAGCTCTTCAAAAGGAAAAAATGTATTTAATTTAATCATGTAACACAAGTTTGGATCTGTTTATAAGTATCACCCCAGAGGAATGAAGTTCAAAACTTGTGAATAACCAATTGGCCGTGCTCTTAATTTAGAAGGTAGTCCTCATCCTAACCTTGTGGTTTGTCTTATTGTTGGCATAAACACCATTCAGAATAGTTTGAATGATCTATTTTCTTTACCCGAAACTGTTTCCTTTATGTAGGAACTGTGGATGATGGCAGTGGGAAACAAAGCAAAATTTCAAGCCAGCATTTTTAAAAAGCTGGATTATATGCACGTAGCTATTCTACCCTCCAGCAGCTGTAGTTAAAAAATGCATATGCCTGTATCCGTTGAAAGAGACGTACAATGTAAAGATCAAATTGTCCTGATAATTTCTTGTTCAGGGGACATATTTGGAGTGGGAAGGGGAAAGGACTCAATTTTCCTTACATAAAACAGAATACAAATAGTTTTCTAAAAAGTGTTCATGTCTTATCTCTGCCTAAATTATAAATTCCTTGATAGGAACTTTGTATACCACAGCAGATACCAAAATATAAATTAATTATATGTAGATTTGGAAGATGAATGAAGGTGCATGAATAACCCAGTGGACAATTGATAAAATTACTTTTGCCATTGAAGGAAAGGAGCGACCCAAAAAAAATTCTAAGGATTAGTATTATTCTAAAAAAAAACTTAAAAAAAATCCTGAATAGAGACTCATTTCTGTCATAAGAGGGGCAGAACAGAGAAGGAATAGGATTCACAGAATAACCCCAATTAAAATAACAAAATAACTTCATTCTCTAAAAATGAAGGACAGCATGTAAGATCAGTAAAGGTGAGATCCTTTTGGATATCTTGGAGAAGAACCCTGAAATTTGTCTACAGATCTTTCACCTTGGAGAGTTGCTACTGTTTGAAAGATCCTGACTCCTCTGTGGTATGCTGAATTGGAACATACGGTTTATCTTCATCATTCCTTCTCACCTGGGGTTAAGACCCTTGTCCTCTCCTGTACTCAGAGTTCCTTCCTTTGATCTAATAAAGATATGTCCATGTTAGAAACAGTCCTGCTCACAAGGAAAAATAAACTGGAAATTTGCCATAAAGTGGCTGCCTCACAATTGAAACCCAAACTCTGGGTTATTGGGTGATCACAGCAAATAGTTTTTGAGCATCTGCACTGTGGCAAACACTTGTACACACAGGATATACTGATGAACAAAATATAAAGTAGTGGCCTGTAACAGGAGGGATTCAGTACAGATGCTCTGCAGTTAAGAGTATAAGAAATGAACTCTTCTTCAACCTGGACTTCAGATTCTATTTCTCGCCTTGTGAATCTGCACATCCTATCATAGCAGTCGTAGCATCTTCTTACTCCCTGAACACATAAATTAGGGTGCACTACTGGGCTGCCCAGGCCTGTCCTTGGGACCAGGTGTTGAACTCACTTCAGAAGTTGGCATCCCAGCTAAATAAATTTAACTGGGTCCTCAATTCCAGGTTGCCTCTTTCAAAAGGCATATCGCCCCTCGCCTTCATAAAAATTGTAGCCGACATTTATTAAGCGTGCTGTTTGTCAAATGGTGACTGCATTATTTTAATAATTTTAAAAATTTAAACAGTTGTTTTTGTTTTGCTTTGTTTGAGACAGGGTCGTGGTCTGTCGCCCAGGCTGGAGTGCAGTGGCCTGATCATGGCTTACTGAAGCCTTGACCTCCTGGCCTAAAGCCATTCTTCCACCTCAGCCTCCAAAGTGGCTGGGACTACAGGTGCATGCCACCACACTCTGCTAATTTTTGTATTATTATTATTTTTTTTTTTTGTAAAGGCAGGGTCTTGCTATATTTCCCAGGCTGGTCTCAACTCCTGGGCATAAGTGATCCTCCCAACTTAACCTCCCAAATTGCTGGGATTACAGGTTTGAGCCATGGCACCCGGCCTCTTGAGTAATTTAACGCTCTTATATGCTCCATTTCCATCTTCATGTGTTTTAGGGAAATATTTGATTAAATTTGAGGCCTCATTCCTTTTTCCTTATTACAGGTAACCACACACTGTATGCAGTTGCACGTGGGCATTGATCCTCATAGAGATCGCCCCCGTATTTGGCCTCAAGACAATTTTCGGCTAGACTAGCCTTGCCCATTCTTTTCTACATCCCTTGAAGGAGATTCACAATGTCCACAAATTTGGTCCACTCTGTGACCGCTGTCCCCCATTCCCCTTCAGCCAATTCGCCTTTGGCACACCTTGTTGGTCCTGAAGAGGCCCTCAGAAATACGATTTCGGCCTAAACTCCCAACAGATTGTATTTTCTATTGAATGGAAACTGACACCTCCTAAAATGAACTGCAGCCATGATGCTTCTTCCTAACGGCTCAGTATGGAGTAGAGCGCACGGCCATCTTATTTTTTTGCTCCGTCTGTTAAAAGTTTTTATAATTTTCTGATAATTTATCCAGTTTGCGCAGTGACTGAGGTGCCCTGAAATTAACTCACTGTCTTCCAACGCCGTGGTAACAGCCTTTCCTTCCGGGTTCTCTGGTGGGAGTCGCCGAGATGGGCGTGGCCATGATACGTCACAATGCGAGGCCGAGGGAGGAACTCTGACGTCTGGGAAGGCCTGGTTTCCCGACCAGATGCCGAGGGCCCTCAAAGTCCCTAGCAACGGCTGCGGAGGGAGATGGAAGTCGTTTTGGACGCAGGCTCAGTGTTTGGTCCCAGCGTTAGGTGGAGTCCGGAGAGACTCAGGATCAGATGGGTTGGGGTCTGGATGTGGCTCCAAGTGAAAGGCCTGTGGGGGTCAATGAAGGGGAGCCCTCTGTTCTGAGACCATGTGGGACCCTGCGTCCTGGGGTTCTCCCTGGGTTTACTCATTGGAGAAGACTGGCTTTGGTGATAGGGCTACTGGTGGTCAGTAATTAAGAGACTGGAAGATATTAACGATCGATAGCCCAACTGTTAAGGTTTATGGTCGTTGAGGGAATGCCGTGGGAATCAGTGGTTGAGAAATGGAGTAGGAAAGTGTGTGTCAATGAATGAACTTGGTGTCCAGTCCGGGTTTGCAATTTAATGTTATAGAGAAGCTTGGGGCTGGAGAAGGTTTTGGTGAAAGAGGTTTCAGATTTAATTTGGAGTCAATGTTTGAGGAGGCCTGTACATGTCTGTGGTTTAGGGGCCTGAGGAGGCTGGAGCTTTGGAGGCCCAAGGGCCCTGGAGAGTGGGTGGGTTGAGGCTTAATAATTGACTGCTGGTTACAGTTGTGATTAAAGCTACATTTACCTAGTGGATCTACATGCAGTTTAGTTCTTCAAGTCCAAGTCTGTCTTAAAAATAACAATGAAAAACATTTCCCTTCCTATATTCATATCACTGTCTACAAATTTCTGGACGAGGTAATTATGAGTTTGCTACTAAAGTCGAGTTTTTTTTCTCTTTAGTTCCCAACTTTACCGTGTCGTTTCATATTTTCTTTCAGATTTATTCCAACACAAGAAAAAAATCTCTATTACCCACACTTCTGATTCTTATTGAGGAACATTTTTTTTTTTCGTTTCTTCCTACAGTTTTCACAATTGCAATATTTTGGGTAAATATTTGATTTCATCACTTAAATTCTCATCACATACATACATGTATGTATGTATATATAGTATATATCTCTCTATATATCTATCTATGTATGTGTCTCTATCTATCTATAAATCTATCTATCTATTTATCTATCTGTCTGTCTATCTATCTATCCAGAGGGAGTCAGTCTTGCCCTGTCTCCCAGCCTGGAGTACAGTGGTGCCATCAGCTCACTGTAACCTTCAACTCCTAGGCTTAAGGGATCCTCCTGGCTCAGCCTCCCAAGTAGCTGGGACTACATATAAAATTTTTCAATGGCTGTATCATATCAGAAGGTTGTACCAGTGGCTTAGTAAATGGAGTCACATTAAATGTTTGCCTTAATTAGGATGGAATTGACAAGTATAAAATACTCAATTCTATTTCTATATTTTCTCTCTATATATAACATTCTCATTCTTTAATTACACAAGTTCTTCCGTTCCCACCCCAAGATTTGTGGTTCACTATTTTATGTCCTAGACCTTATGGTTATATTTATTCTTAAGTAGCTTATACTGTTTTTTCATAATTCCTCTAGAAGAGGAAGTCATTTTTTAAAAAACTGAGACAGAGTCTCACACTGTTGCCCAGGCTAGAGTGCAGTGGTATGATCTTGGCTCACTGCAACCTCCATGTCCCAGGCTCAAGGGATTCTCCCACTTCAGTAGCTGGGACTACAGGCACTCGCCACCATGCCCAGCTAATTTTTTTATTTTTTGTAGAAATGAAGTTTCACTATGTTGCCGAGGCTGGTCTTGAACTCCTGAGCCCAAGTGATCCACCTGAGGCATTACCTGCCTCAGACTCCAAAGTGCTAGGATTACAGGCATGAGCCACTGCTCCTAGTCAAGCATTTCTTAAATCCAAATATTTGCTGGAGTATGCCTACCTAATGCATGTATTAAGGCCTATTCCTCTGAGAGTCTGGGTTGATTCGATTTGGAGTACAATCCCTGATAGTGTTGATAAAATTCTCTAGGGGATGTTGTTGTGACATACTTGGTAACTCACAGCCCTAATATATGCTAAAATGGATGGAATTTTGTGAGAAACAAGAAAATATCTTCTAATAGTGATGATTTTTTTGTAGAAAAAATATGAAACATCTATATTTAATACAGGATTTGAACACAAGGTATTGTTAGAATTCTAGGTTGTGTGAAGTTACATGTCAAGATATTACTGAAATGCCAAGGGTTTGGTCTAGGTCCTGTTCCTTGCCACACAGAAAGACAATCACTGAGATAATGAGTATTGTGAGAGAAGAAAGCCTTTTTTGGGTAACATCAAGTGGGAGAGGAAGATAAATATCAAATATGTCTCCCCACAACCAACCGAAATTGGTGGCTTATATAACAGGTAAGGAATATAAAACAGGAATTAGGGAAGGGTAAGGAAGGGGAGTTGGCTAACAGGAATCAGGTGGTCGGTTAGGCAATCATGATGGATGACAGGTCCGCCATCTCATTGTCTAGATGCAGTGATCTGGTAAGTTTCAGTTCCTTGATACTATCTGGGAGCCCTGATGGTTGGTTTCAGGAGAAACGAACTCAGATAAGGCAAATATAAGTTTCAAGCTTTAAGACTAGGAGGGTCAATGTCTATATTTATTCAAAAAGACTGTTAACATCAGTTCTGTGGGGAAATCAGGCCAGTTTAAAAAATGATTAGCAAAGATAGGGAATATGGTAGAAATGTAAAGGAAATAAAGGTTAAAGTGATATATAGAGCATAGGGAATGATGGCATGATATGTGAAAGGCATATCTAAATTTTGGATAAAGAGAATTAAGGGCAGAGAATGAAGAGATTAAATGGAAAATTTGTCAGGCCATGGCGGAGACTGCCAAAAGATTTGGTCTGAAGCCAGCCATATGAAAGCCAATGTTAGAAGCTGTCTGTAGGGAAAGTAGTAGAATGGAAATGTGGATAAGTGGGGTAATCATAGCAACATTAACTTTTATTGCCAGGCTGACTGGATTTTGTATTAGTAATTGAGGTAGCATGGTAGGGGATAAGTTTCTTTTGTATTTTTCTAGCCTATGGGTAGTCTTATCTTTCAGGCAGTGACAGTAATGATGCAATAATAAGGAACAGCCAGAGTTTCATATATAAGTATAAATAAATATATATATACACAAATATATATATACAAATTACATATATTTTTTGAGATGGAGTCTCGCTATTGTCCCCAGGCTGGTGCAATGGTGTGATCTTGGCTCAATGCAACCTCCGCCTCCTGGGTTCAAGCGATTCTCCCACCTCAGCCTCCCTAGTAGCTGGGATTACAGGTGCCCATAACCACACCCAGCTAATTTTTTGTATTTTTAGTAGAGCTGGGGTTTCACCATGTTGGCCAGGTTGGTCTCAAACTCCAGACCTCAGGTGATCCACCCGCCTTGGCCTCCCAAAGTGCTGGGATTACAGGTATGAACCACCATGCCCGGCCTCTAAGAAATATTTAAAGGTGGCATAAGTCTTGGTTT